AACTGTATGTCAATCATTTCTGTAAATCTCTTGAACTAAAGTAAACCTTAGCTATTACCTTATCATACCTTACCTTACCTTGATAGGAGCGCAGTCTGCTACTTAGGTAAGCGGAGTCTGACTGTTTTCTATTATACTTCATTGCCTGTTGTCACAGACATTTCTGTGAAAGTACTACACACTCTTACTCACTTAAATAAATTAAGAAAAACAACAACACCAGATCACACTGAGTCACTACCTGTTTGCTTATCAGCAGTCCTTCACTCTACGCTGTAGGAGCTCACCACTGAAATAGGCTGCAAGAAGTTTGTACACTGTTAAAAAGTGGTACTCAATTTCGAACAAAGGAATCCCTGTAGTTACTCCACCTGCAGCACGGCATCCTAAAACACCTCCCTAAAGGGAGTAGTTCCAACCAGAGACATTACAGAGGGAGCTCCTCATGCAGTAGCCTACGTGAGAGTTAATCCAGGTGATTTGGTTAGAAAATGTGAGGATGCTGTTAGTGCAGCTCTGATGGTACCTTCAATGGTACTTCTTTAGAACATTTATTTAGAATTTTTTTTCTTGTATCTCTAAAATCAAGGCCTGATTAAGATCCTTTGGTGTCCCTGGGGCACTGGATTTATGATTTATCCCCACAAAATCCACAAACATAACACTCTGTTTATTCCAGGTCCCACTTATTTATAGACAGTACACCTCAGACCTTGCAACAGCATTGCTGGAGAGTTGTTCTGTTTATGCTTCGCAAAAAAAAAAACGTTAACTATCAAAAAACATTAGCTCTTCAGCTAAAGCCGGGTATGCCAATGAGAAGGCACCAATGCATGTCAAAAAAGACTTGTGTAGAGAAGTGAAGAGATTTTATTCTAAGCAATTTTGTAGTGTTTCTATTGGTCCACTCATCATGAACTTTTCACACAATGTAAAGGACAGCTGCTGTGGTCAAATGATGTAGAAAAATAACATTTTTTTTGGACAATATAGTAGATATGGCCATGTTCAAAGTGGTAACTTCACTGGAGAAGGTAAAAACATCTTTACTGTCAAAGTAAGTCAGTGTAATGAGTCTATTCTATGTAATATTATACATTTTCCATTAATCCATTCACTATTAAATTTACATACAATATACCGGGCAGCTGGTATTTTTAAATTATGTAAAAAACTAAAAGTAGAAGGTTTTGTTCTGACAGCAATGATATAATTTATTTTATTAAATTGCAGTAACTCCATTTTTTAGGTAGAAAAATGAAATCAAAAGTTTGGACTTCCTCTTGGAAAGTGAATATAATGTACTTTTAAACCTCTTTTAAGATCAATCAGGTCTCAAAGACCAGGGAGTACATTTTCATTGTTTTTTCTTGAGGACCGAAATTTACCTTGACAGTTTTTTTCTGCTGGTGAAACTAAAAAAAGAGTAAAGACTTAAACTGTCGGTTCCTGGTGGTGTCCAATACTTTCTAATGGTATTTAGTGTTTTCCAGATGGGCTGATATCACAGTGTAAAAGATTGTAATGGTTTATCAGGTGTTCTGGGACCCTGTCAGATGCATTTGGTGGTTTTCTAATGGGATCTAAAGGTGTTCTACACAAAACTAATTGTCTTTAACGGTGTTCATTAAGCCAATTCCCATTAGAAAGCAAAACCATCAGGTTTTAATCCTAATGGTCTATTTTCAGCAGGGTTATCTCCTCAATAAGTAAACCCATTGTCAAGGTATTTTCCTACACATTTCATCCTCATGGCGTCTCAGTTCACTACCCACATACAGAACTGTAAACTGTTAATACTTGTTTAATGGACTGTTTATTAATAATGACTAGAAATACACAACGGCCTTCAGTTCAGTTCAGGTTAGCTACAAACCGCTAGTGCGACCCCCGTGTGTTTGAGTCTCTTCCTCTTTTAAACTTACCGCTCGCGCACCAGCATTACGTCTGTCTGACGCAGATACAGCAGTGAGGAGAGTGAATGGGGAAGAGCAAGAGAAAATAAATTCAGGGTATGTGTGTCTGCTTATCTCGTATAACCCAATGGAAGAAGCGGTTTATAATGTACTGTGGTAAATTGTTCCCTGATACACGTTATTCATTCGGTCACATAGTCAGGATGGCCGAGCGGTCTAAGGCGCTGCGTTCAGGTCGCAGTCTCCCCTGGAGGCGTGGGTTCGAATCCCACTTCTGACAGTAACTTTTCTCCCTGGGGAGAAAACACGGATTTATAAGATTTACAAATTTGATACTATTTGTATTTACGCAATTAACGTATAGTACCTCTCTCAAAGTCATGCTATTTTGTTATTATTCTGTTATATTACTAAATTTCTTACAGCACTTCTTAACACATCCAATGTCAGTTTCAGACTTCATGCATTCATCTGGAGTAAGTGTACCCTTTAAGTCCATTTCAGCCACTTTGAGGGTAAATATTTTATTTATATTCTTAAAACTACGAGATTAATGCTTTTATCTATCCACATGATAAGATGGACAAATGACACGGTTGTTATTTCAGTAGCAGATTTCTTAACACAATGAAGAAAAGATATATAATAGGACACACCAATACTAAAGTCAGACAAAATATACATTATTAGTTAAATTTGTGCATTAAAATGTTCACTACTTCATCATCTGCCTGGTGGTACCTTCTGAGTGTGACATCCACACTTCCTCAGTTGACCAAACAATGAAGCTTGGCCATGAGTCTGCATGGGACATTTCTCAATCTGTTTTAAGATTATAAATCTAATGCAAACTGATTGGATGTGTGATTAACTTAAAATGAATGACCTATCCTGTCACAGGACAGGAACCCATTTAGGTCAGTGTTTTTTTTATTTTATTTTTGTGGTACAATCTCTATTAATTACATAATTATAGTGAAACTCTTTGACATTGGTGTAGTCATACAGATCTGAGGTTAATTCTTGGCATATTATAAAATGCTTGTATTTAGTTCCAATACTGAGTTTTAGTAATTACTAAGGAAAGGCGTGTGCTTGCAGAAAACGATAACTTTGAAGTACCTAGCTTTGTATTAAACATTGCAATCCAACATTATGCAGTTAATGTAATGAATTGTGTCATATATGTACAATGCATTGCATTATCTGCAGAACAGACCCCAGAACTGGCACATCCTCTTTATTCCATTGCTTCAGTTTTGATTTGGATACACTGCCATCGATTATATAAATGTACTTGTTATATTTAACACTGTAAGAGCAAGAACATTGTAAACACAGTGGAAAAAGTGAGTTTGTGTGTGTGTGCGTGTGTGTGTGTGTGTGTGTGTTGTCATGCTACAATAACGTCTATAATAATAATGAATTGGTTTGCTAACTGGGTAATTAAATTTAGTGTAATGTGTGCAGCACTTGCTATAGTAACATGTGGTAATAATGTAAATAATTTAATACCCTAGCTAACATAATACATACATGCACACTTGCATATGTAATAAATATCATTATACTCAATAGAAAATGGTATACAACCGATTATTAGGTGATAAACAATTTACCACAAAGGCAAAACTAATATTATCGGACTAAGATAAATTCTCTGTAAGTGGTGCCTGGTTAACTAGCTAGCTACAGCTAGCTTACTAAGTTAGCGATCTAGTTAATGCCTCAGGCCTCTGAGTTAGCTGGAATAGAAAATGTTTTAAAAAATATCTTCACATGTACAGCCACTCAATGAATAAGAATCACTACAAGACTTCTACACGTTTAGTTTTAGTTAAAGACGCAGCAAAGGCAGCTAGGTATGTAGCTAGCTAGCTTGCTAATGAGCTTTTGCTACTTAACGTTAATAAGCTACAGATGAGCAAACGTCTTCAGGAATACATGGTAAGTAAAGTTACAGTACAATAATAAGCCGCCTGTCATTCTCTAATGGGGAAAATCTTTAAACACTTGCCACTTAATCATTTGTTTTGATGTCTACACTTGGCTGACTACCTAGCTGTCGGCTAATCTTCCAACATTAACACTGACCCAGCTTAACTACCTCTAAAATCACTCCACCATCACCGCGGTGGACAGATACACCCTCCGTCCACACACGCACCCTGGTGGCATCTGTTGTCAGACTGGAGCCTTACGAAACGATGGGAAAGTCAGAAAATTGTTTAGATTTTTGTTACCTAAGGTTGAGAAAATGAACTGTGTTGTAGCTTATCATAAATAAGCAACTTTAGACTGGAAATGACGAATTTGAAACCACAATGAGTTCAAACAACACATCCAGTCTAACCTTATACAATGACCCTTCACATGCTTACAAAATAAACATCATTTGAAAATAATGGCGCACACTAGATGTATTTTCCAACAAAACAAAGCGTCGATCTGCAGTTTCTCTTTACGGGATTTTGCCAGCTCTGTTAAACAGGCCGAACCAAGACGAGAAAAGAGCGCCTTTATGGGCGGAGCATAGACTGGTCAGTTCTACTCTATGATTGGCTGCAGCTAGCTTGAACTCTGCGTGTGACTGGTTATCCAATAGACTGTACGGTCATCGGGTTATACCGTCAATCATTCTCCAGCAGGTCTTTAACATTTTGACACCGGAAAAAGCCACAGCTGCGGTCAACCCTGGAGGTGTGGGATTGAATCCAGCTTCTGACACTAGCCTTCCAACCAGAGAAAACACAGAACACTCTGAATTACACACCGAATTACACTCACCAAAACCGGCACAACGAATGCCTTGCTGGAGGAAAAAATAAGGGACCAATTTCTTCATGATATTTGCATGAACATGAGGGTTCAGAAGCCAGCATCAGTCATGCTTACAACATGGTGCTATCCCTTTTATATTCACTGCCCAGCATCAGTTTTCATTCTACATTTATTTATCTATTCATTTTGTATCTTGTCACAGGAAACAACTCATTTGATTGCAGTCATGTGAGGAAGTTATTTATTACCTCAGAAGAGCGCTACCTACATAGACAAATGTTAGGAAGAAGTGTGTGTGTGTGTGTGTGTGAGAGAGAGAGAGAGAGAGAGAGAGAGAGAGAAAGAGAGAGAGAGAGAGAAAATAGGTGTCGTAGGTTGTTTGGATAGAGTTACTAGGGAGTGCTCACACCTGCCTTGTGTGTGGATCTGCGTGTCTTTCCCTGGTTTGGTCCATTTTTCCTAATCTTCACCTTTTCTCAAAGGACAACATTATTTTTTAACAAAGCCTCTGTATTTGGAACAGAGATGGCAGATTTTCCTGGGAAGGTTAGCACTGAGACAAGCTCACCACAGTCTCAGACAGGATCAATGCAACTAATGAACATATCTACGGATTTGAACTTCATCAAGACCATTCCAGGGATCCTCTTGTTCGCGGAGATTGTGAGTTGTGAAAAAAAAAAACAACTGTCAGCAATGTATAACTTTATTGATTTTTCCTCCGTTTGCCTTTAGCCTCTCTCCAACTTCTACCCTTCTCATTTACACTTTCTTCTCTATCCGTCTATCTGCTCCTGTTTGCCATCTGGCTCGGACACGCATGGCTGATTTTGCCAATGTCTTGGGCAGTCCTCTGAGAACTCAATGACCAAAGTGACAGAGGAGTCAGAGAATAATGGGCTGATGACATATAATTTTAAATGACCCTTTCCTTCAAAATCAGGTTTAGGTATTTTATTTCTAAGTGGCTGTTTAAACTGGACAAACCAGGATAATGTTTGGCTCAGTTATTTTTACAAAGAGAATCTTTGTGCTGTGCAGACTTACAAAGCCAACAGACTTTTCTGTCAGGCCTTGAGCAACTATTCACACTGAGCCCATCCCTGAGTAAACTATAGCCTTTGTATTCTGGTTCAAAGTGTCCATGGCTTAATACCATCAGATTGTAATTCCCCAACTGTGACACAATAAACAAGATCAGCAGACCATTTAGAGATTCTGAATAAAAAAATAAAAAAATAAATAAATAAGACAAGAGTACAATGTTTTATTGTTTAAAGACAAATTCATTATAAGTATAATTGTTTCCTTATACTGAACAGTTTGAATCATAAAAGTGCCCACACAGCTGTAACTAATCCGACATGAAAAAGTCACCATCTACCTATTGGGAACTATACAGGAACAAACTAACCTGTCTGAGTATAGCTTTTTATTTTAGGTACTTCTGCTCTTCCACAGTTCCCTTCTACAGACATGTTTGTTGTCCTTTATGCCAGATCTCAGGTGCCATGCCCTTTGATATGGAATCATGCCATGGACAGAAATCTGAGACCATCTATAGATGAATAATAGATTTAGCCTAATGCTCTGTATTGTACTAAACAGTGCTATTGCTAACACTTTATGTGTAAGCAATAGATCTGAGAAGATAATAGCATGCCCAATCAAAATGTTCTACTATAGTTGCCTTATAGTGATAGTTTAAAGCAGCCAGATTGTTTACATTGAATAAAGGTTTAAATTTTGGTTCCTCTCTGCAGGTTTTAGGCCTGCTGGTATGGGCACTGATCTCCAGTGCTGCCTACCAGGCAGTCCCTGCTTATGGCTGGGTGATGTTTGTGAGTGTGACACTGTGGATCCTCTCCATCGTGCTCTTCATTATACTGTTTCTGAATCTTAAGCAGAAATTAGTCTCAGTGCCCTGGCCTCTAGTGGTGAGTAACTTCCTCACTTTATGCAGATGTAGAAAGCCTAGCCAAACCTTAATTAAAGAGCTCATATTCCACATTTTTCTATTGATTGATTGATTATATTTCACTGTACTAAAACACCTAATTGTCTAATAAACTGTCTCATTGTGACAGTTTCCCAACCTGCTATTGTGAATTCAAGGCTGTTTTTGTTGCTGTGCCTTTAATATATGTACATGATCTGCTGTTCTGTATTGTGCCTCATTTACAACACAATCCAGGCTGAAACACTTTATAACTTCAGTGTAAATAGGTGCAGCTAAACTGCTATAGGCTGATTAGGCAGATACAGTCATATGCAAAAGTATGTGTTTTGTTCATTTTCTAAGTTAAAACATAGAAAACACATCTGCACATTTTAGTGCACAATTACTGTTTCCTTGCTGAATTTAAAATATTGCAAAAAATTGCAATATGTTAAATATGTTAAACATAGCAGATAAGTAGAAGTTGTACACCTTGTTCTCTGTACACTCTCAAAAAAGATGGTTCTTCAAGAGTTCTTTAGTAAAAAAAAAGGGTCCTGTGTAGAACCATGAACACTCAAAGAACCCTTTGCACGGTTGAAGGGTTCTTTGCATCGTGAAAGCGTTCTTCAGATTGATGAAGAATGTGCTATAGATGGTTCTATGTAGAACCTTTTTGAAAAGGGTTCCACTATTGTTACAAGCCAAAGAGCCCTTTTTGCTAGAAGTTTAGAGGATGTGTTAGCCTATATCCACTTTGAAAATCAGCAAAACATGTTCAAACGTTTACATACAACTGCATATTTTAACGTGTTGGTTTCTTTACCCATCACAAAATAATGATTTTAATGTAGGCAGTCCAGGCCACTGGACCATATGGACTGGTGAGATGTGTTTTAAAACTTCAGAAAGGTTTACATACTTCACCAAACTCTTTTATTTCCAAGAAGTGAGGGAAATTAGATTTCCTTATATACTGTGCCGTGAAAAAGTATTTGCCCCTTACCCAATTTCTTCTATTTTTGCTATTTTGTCACATTTAATTGTTTCAGATCATCCAGCTAATTTTTTATATAACATAAAGACAACATTGGTAAACACACGATGCAGCTTTAAAGCTTTAAATTTTGTCCCACTGTTCTTTGCATAATTGTTTTAATTTGGCTGCATTGGAGGGTTTTCGAGCATGAACTGTCTGTTTAAGGTCTTGCCACAGAATCTCAATGTGATTCAAATCAGGACTTTGACTCGGCCACTCCAAAACCTTAACTTTGTTTCTTTTGAGCCGTTCAGAGGTGGACTTGCTTGTGTGCTTCACATCATGGTCTTGCTGCATAACCCAAATGCTCTTGAGCTTTAGTTACAAACTGATAGGGAGACATTCTCCTTCAGGATTTCCTGATAAAGAGCAGAATTCATGGCTCCATCAATTATGAAAAGTAGTCCAGGTCCTGCAGAAGCAAAGCAGCCCCAGACCATCACACTACCTCCACCATGTTTGACTGTTGGTATGATGTTCTCATGGTGGAATGGTGTTCTTGTAGTGTTAGCTTTACGGCAGATGTAATGGGACCCATGTCTTCCAAAATGCTTCTTGACTCATTAGTCCACAGAATATTATCACAAAAGTCTTGGGGGTCATCGAGATGTTTTTGGCAAATGCAAGATGAGCTTTTGTGTTCATTTGGGTCAGCAGTGATTTGTGCTTTGCAATTCTCCCATGGAAGCCATTTTTGCCCAGTGCCTTTCTTATTGTGGAATCATGTACCTTAACGGAGAAAAGTGAGGCCTGCAGTTTTTTAGATGTTTGTTTGGGTTTTTTGTGACCTCCTGGATGAGTGGTTGATGCACTCTGGGTGACATTTTGGTAGGCTGGCCACTCCTGGGAAGGTTCACCACTGTTCCGAGTTTTCCTTATTTATGGATAATTGCTCTTACTGTGGTTCGATGGAGTCCCAGAGCCTCAGCAATGGCTTTGTTACCCTTTCCAGACAGTTAGATTTCAATGAATTTGTTTCACAACTGTATTTGAATCTCTTTAGAATGTGGCATCATGTGCTGCTTTTTGAGACCTTCTAGCCTGCTTCACATTGCCAGACTGGTTCTATTTAAGTGATGTTCAGATTCAACAGGTCTGGCAGTAATCATGTGTGAGTGTGTAGAGTGAAATTGAACCCAGTAGTCAATTGAATTTGGTTAACTGGTTGATTTAGCAGCTAAGGGGGCAATTACTTTTTCACATAGGGCCAGGTAGAGCTGAACAGAATTTTTCCTTCACTAAATAAAATCAATTTAAAAATAGCATTTTATGTTTACTTTGGTTATTTTTGTCTAAAAGTAGTTTGATGATCTTAAACATTCAAGTGTGACAAATATACAAAAATAGAAGAAATTGTGAAGGGGCAAATACTTTTTCACACACACACACACACACACATATATATGTGTGTGTGTATATATATATATATATATATATATATATATATATATATATATATATGTGTATATATATATATATGTATGTATATATATATATGTATATATATACATATGTGTGTGTGTGTAATACAGCACCTATATAATATATGTATTGCCTTAATAGAATATATTGTGTATGCAAACTGGAGATGTTTGTCAGTTTGACAGATGAATCAAGATTTTCCTGTCTAATCTAAATACAACATTTCTTCTTTTTGTTTACTTCTCACAGCTGATGGTATTTTATGCAGTAGCGACTGTCCTGTACCTCACTGCTTTTGTGGCCAATGCAGCTTCAGTCTCTGTCTATGTAATTTGTTATCACTATAATCGTATGGCAGCTGCTGCGGTGAGTGAAGGCATTTATTTTCATTCAAACACACAGAGCACAGTAGGTTCACCATTGTTTATTAGTCACACCTTGCCAACCTGGTTATCAGCAGTCAACGAGGGGAACAAGGCATTAAATAGGTCAAAATATGAAGACCTTAAATGAGGACAATATGTTGAGACTTTCAAGCGCAACATATTTGCTTATTTGAATTTGGTTTGGTAAAGATAATCATGCACACATATGTATACTAGAACACCTCACTGATAACTGTGGGGTGTAACTAAGTGTGCTTTGTGTGCACATCTGAAGTACAGGCAGACTTATCTGTGGCATTCACATTGGTAAATATGTGACCTCATATTGCTCACTTTTGTCAGGTGACACAGACACTATGCCCTGAATCTCTGAAAGCTAAAGCAGAAAGGAATGCTATGATAATGGATAGCTATCAAGTATTTTAAACAACTCTAAATCTTGAGGTCCTTATCTTTATAAGAAGGCTCAATCTAATATCTCTACGCAACCCACCCTGTGATGAGTAAGGTAGATCTGGTAGAACATTTACAATACAATCACTGTGCCCACTATTATTGCTTTATCATTCATTCTCAAAGAACAATAAATTATGACTTTTGACATAAAGGGTTGACTATCTGTCAGCTAGGCAAAGTAAAACGAAACGGTTGCGCAGGTTATGGAAGAGTGCATGTGGGTTTATGGGACCTTAAAGAAACTGAGTCAGAGTCCACTGTCCAGAGTCCACAAGCACATGACAAACATGCAATTGTTGGGTAAAAATGTTGCCATCACAGTACTGGCCCCAATGCCCAAAAACAAGGTCAAAAATATAATAGATAACAGATCATCTCCACTTTAGCAATTCACATAGTAGTAATTTGTACCTATACAGAACTTAAACCATTCATATGGATCATTTATAATTATTATTATTATTTATCCGGTTTTCCACCTCCCAGAGGTGGGAGACTTGTTCGGAGGCCATATTTTACTTGTTTACTTCAAAACTGGAGAGCTAAGATTGCTAACAAAGACTAGAACTTAAGTCACCCAAATATCCCAAATAGTTTCTGTAAAAATACTTCACCAAAACTTCTCTCAAACCACACAGAGGTCTTCATTAAGGTCCTGCAGACTTGTCATTCTGGTTTAACGTACAGTAAGACTTACTGTGAACTGCTGCGGGTTTGTATCCATCCATTCTCTTGCTGGCCATCTTTTTTTCCTTTTTTACCTTTAAAAGTTAAAAGCATAATTGTCTTTCTGGTAATTGTTGAATGGATCCTTTGTTGTTAATAATTGATCCACGTAGGAAAAAGCAGTCCACCACTTTGTCATTTATGGGCCCTGGGCTGGGTCTAATGACAAATAATGTTGATAAATAATTAGATATAATGATAAATAACTAGGGGTATCACAATACACTGAGTTCACCATTTGATTTGATTCACAATACTGGGCTCACAATTTTTACATTTTGAACAAAATTTGAATGAAAAAAAACTGACTATAACCATGTTGTTGTGCAACGTACTATTGGCACTAGAGCTGGGCGGCAGGAGAAGTGCTGGAGTGGTATAGCAATGTCATGATGCACGTTTACACCCCTATAAATAACCATTAATAGGTTACACTAACGTAAAAGGTAAAGCAGGAACATAAATCTGTTACGATGTTGAATAAATCCAAGCTGTACCTTCATATATTATTTGTATTCTGTCTCCTAGTTTTTTGGCATTGTGGTGACACTGACGTACGCCGCTAGTGCCTTCTTTGCCTACCTGGACTGGAGGGGTGATGGGGGAAATGCAGCCACCAGCACCGTGCCTGTGTAGAGATGTGCTATCTGCCTCTGGCAAGAGACTGTATTCTGAGTCTATATATGAAGGAAAGCAGAAGCAATATATTTTGCTCAAACCTTTCTTCAGTGGCGTTTGAGACAGAGGCTCATCATGGATATAGTATTGTAAATGATCTGTGGGCTTTGATGTTTGTGCTCTTGTGTTCTGTGGTTTACATACTTTGTAAGCTGGCCTGAAAAATTATGCAGGCTGGGAATTTTTTTTCTTTTTTAAACCTAAACTGTTGATCAAACATACAGTTAATCCATGAAATTGGAAATGTGCAATCATACACATTTTTCATGTTTGACGACATTTTGATGTATGTCAATTAAATTACATTTATTTCTTCTTACATGCATATTTACACATACAATGAAACACGTATGAAGCACTCCTTAGGTAAAAACTTTACACACTCAATCAATAGAGGTGGTAAAACATTCAGACCATAGAAACATCAGCAAAATGAAGCAAGGGATTGAATGAGAGGGTTTTTCATCTCCTGACAGGCTACATTTGGGAGCTGAGCACGACATAAACTGACAAAGAAGAGCAAAAAACTGCTTTAAAACCTATCTCAAAATATGATAGATTACATTTGGTATAAAAAATTAGAAAAGGCCTGTAATCGGTAATCGGTGCATATGCCTGTTTCTTTCCCCCCAACATATGCTTAGCAGTCATAGAAATGCTCTTGGCAACGCAGGTGTAAGCGTGTTATTTCAGCAAGATGTCCTGTGTAAGCCTTTTTCAGCCTGAACAATAAACTGTTCACAATGCATCTAAGATAAACCATTCAATAGCAGGCACGTCACTTGGTGTTTCTATGTATTTTAGAAGCCCTTTTGATTAATGAGATGCAAGTAAATATTTGTGGTGTAACTCGTAAGTGAAAAAACACAGGGAGGTGCTAAGGAGTGGTAAGGGTATGAAAATGTTCCTCGCTGAAGTCAGATTGTACACCTGTTCAAGAAACACCACGCATACAACAAAAGCTTTACTTTTAATACAGCAGATACTACATCTATGTGTAATAAAGCTATCATAACTAAATATCACGGACAGTGACACCAACTAAAAATGTAAGTCTCTTGGTAAACCTTTGAAATACTGTGGGAGGAACCACAACAAAAGCAGGACCTATTAGGTAATGTCAAGTTTAAATATTAAACCAAAGCAAACTCATGGTCCCCATCATTGAGCTAGTATGGCAGTAAACTAAGCTCCTGAACCTGGAGCAAAACTACCCACATGGCTGAGGGAACGTAAATGTGATGTTGGGGTCTTTGAAACGGCTATGATGTAAGGAGCAGACACTTAAAAATGATGGTTCTTCAAGGAAGCAAAATGGCCCTTTATAGAACCATGAACACTTAAAGAACGCTTTGCATGATTAAAGCATTCTATGTAGCACCAACATGAGTTAATGAATTGTTACAAGCTTGATATTGTAACAACAGAAAAACCCTTTTTGGTACTATATAGAACCCTTTTCAGAAAGGTTCTTTGTAGGACTACCTACAGCACATTCTTTGTTAATCTGAAGAAACCTTTCATGTTGCGAAGAACACTTTAATTATGCAAAGGGTCTTTGACTGTTAATAGTTCTCTAGAGATCTATTAACATTGTGTTTACTAAAGAACCCTTGAAAAACCATCTTTTTAAAGAGTGTATGTAAGTGATGAATTTACTGTGAGTTATATGACACCTCATCCCTCCTGGGCTCAGAGGGAGCCTGATGCTGTACTGGAAGTAACCATTGCAGAAGTAGCCGAACTCAAAGATTTCACCATCAGGCCATTGCTTAGGTCCAGCCCTCGTCCCTCACGTTCCTGCAAACAAAGAAGGCTGTTAACATTGCCCATTCTATGGGCTAAAGCTGAAACAAGGGAATTACTGATCATATAATGGTGACTGTAGAAACCACAAGAAAAATGTTTTGTCTATTTTAATTTGACCTTAAACATTTTGTTGTGATATGACAAGCTGATTAAAATCATTGGTGAGGGGCTGACTTACGTGTTTGTCACAACACAGCATATTGCATTTTGTGTAATACTTGTGTAGTAGTAGTGAGCGGTATACTGCTTGAATTTGAAAATGCAGCAAACCTCCTTGATCACCTCCCGCTGTCTAGTCCGTCGTATTATAAGTAGTTCACTTTGTTTTCTAAAGCCAGTGGATATAAAAGAATGGCCAGACTTCAAACTTCCAGGGTTTGCCTTAGCCTAACATGGACACCAGACTGTTTGCTGTGCTTCTTCCTGTACCACCCGAGAGGCTGCCTGACTTGGTCAGCTGCATCAGATGACAACGTCACAGTCTCAGGGGTCTTGTGCAAGCAAGCAGTTAACCAGCTGGTACTGATAGTGTAAATGACAGTAACATATAGCAAATTTTATGTTCCACCTTAAATGGTGCAGCAGTTACGTTCAGGTACCGGTAGAGGTGCCAGAATGTGTGCACAGCTGCTGAATAATAGGCCAACTATAGTCTTGTAAGAATTAAGACATGAAACAATATTTGCACCATTTTAGATGGCCCATTATCTACTGATAGAAAGCAATAGTGACTTAGGCTTATCTATATATTGTTCAGTTTTGTTTTTACTATTTTTTCACAATAAAAATATTTACTTTGTTTGCTAAAAATTATTCTTTTTAAAAAGTGAAGGAACATTCCAGAATGAGAAGCCACTGATAACCTTCAAAAACAGGTTTATTTAAGCATCAAGAATAGTTTTATTTGAAAATATACATACTGTGAGACATACTGAAACGGTAAGAAATTTTAATTATATCGTGATATTAATTTTAGGCCATACCACCCACTATTATTGTGTAGTTCACTTTATCTCATAGCTGAGTTACAGCATAGTTTAATGTTCACAAATCAACTGTTTATGTCTTGTCCAGCTTTTCCACTATTTTTTTGCAGTTGGATATGTAACTGTTTCCTTGATAATTCTAAATATTCTTCAAGCATCAGGTATGATTGTTTGAAATGCATTATGAAAGCCGACCAGCAAGAATTGTTTTACCCAGACTTCAGCTCACAAGTATGGTGCCCACAAAACTTGGTGTACCTTTGGTTCCGTTAACATTATACAGCCCTACTTAAAACTCAGATCATATATATTGCATTCAAACACAACATAATAAAATGATCACTTACTGCTCTGTAGTCAATGAACATCTCTTTAAAGGCCATAAAGTCTGTAAAGGTGAGCAGCATGTCAAATATATCCCCTGAGACTTCATCTTTGTGTTGCCTTAAATAGTAAAAATGATGGTTAAAACAAAAGACAGCAGATCAGAATAAGTGCAACAGCAGTTTGTGGATCTGAACACTGCCTCCAGTAGATCTCTACTACTAAGGTTTACAGCAGCCAATTCTATTATATACAGTGTAAAGGTGTCCAGATAATTAGAATTTAGGTTTAAACATTAAATTGTACTGTAAATGAGTATGTTTATGACAGATGTGAGTAGAATAATAAAAAAGGATATAAGATGAAAAAGTCTCTTTCATTGGAATGCTTTGGGTATAAAATAATGTAAACAAAGATATGCACACAAAGGCCTGGTTGAGCAAGCAATATGATGATAGTCTTTGACTATTTACTGTGTCATACCAAATTTTGCATATAGTTTTACTTGTGGTATGCACTGCAGTAGATTAACTTATAGCTGGCATTTGAAACTCCATCATCCAGGTCTATTTGTTTTCATTACTGATGAATAAAGTCCACAAAACTAATATACTCAAAACAATACTTACATACAGTACCAGTAAATCTTTAGTATAGAGCTAGTCTTTAGTGCTGTTATCTTTAAAGTCTTTAAATGCTTCACATCACAACCTTTTTTAAAACATGCCAGTTACAATCCCCCTATATACTTATTTGTAAGTTTGAGCAACAAAATACAATGTTGTGGATGGATGAATAACTTTAACTTTTAGAATAATTTTGTACTTACTTCAGCGAATGTGTGAAGTCATTCATGTTAAAGCCAGGAATTCGCTCTATCAGTTGCTGTTCCAGATACTTCTCTAAGAGATCAACCTAAAGAAGAATATTAAACTTTAGACAATGAAAACCTCAATCACAAGAACTGAATCTCTGGAACTGATTAAAAGTCAACATAAAGCCACTTACATATTCATTAAAAATTGGTGTATAACTGAGCTTATTCTCTTCAGAGTCATCAAACTCCAGGTAATATTTCTCCATGAAAGACTGCTGAAGATTCTGGAAGGCATCTTCTGTGAGAACAGTTCAGATATGTCAGTTTGCCCACTAAGAGGGTTATGGATTACGGTTAAACATCACACCTCAACGTCTGAATCAAAGCTAAACTGTGTAAAGATGCTGATGATAATGTTAATATCTGGTCTAATAAAACCCCAGGCGCTGTAGTACATAGTCAGTGGATCTGTGATGAACAGTGTTCACTCACAGCTTACCCATTATGATCTCCTCAATGTTCCCAATTACAGCATCAAACACTGCATCGGCGTCTGAAGATCTGGAGAAAAAATGATGACCATAATTAACATATGGCGTCTTTATATGTCAGTATCAATTTTTCATCATTCTTAACAACATTTCTTGGCCTGTAACCGCCAGTGCTCACCTAGAGACGGCAAATTCCTCTTCACCCAAATCTTGCATCTCAACAATATTCTCCCCTCCACCGATCAGATCTAAAAGATGCAAGATTGGAAAAACTTTAGTAAGCTAACTTACTTAGCTAGCTAACTAGATGGCTTTAGGACAACCACCGTACAGATGTAACAGAAAAAAACATGTAACTAGCTAGCGTTAACTAAGCTGGCTTACTGAACTCTCTAGCTAGCTAGCTAACAGTTAGCTAAAGCTGGCTAACCTCAATGCTAACCAACAAAAAGACCTCTATGAATGAACAAGACAGTTTATCCCTTTATCCCGCGTTCATGCTTATAGAAATTAGACTCAAAATATATTAACAACCTCTCTCCTGAACATCCATCACAAACAGTCAGAAAGCAGCGCAGCCGCCACCGCACCGACTCTGGCTGCCACGGCAACGGCAGAACGCGCACCTCCTGGAAAAGGGCCCGGTAGAAAACGCGTTTTATCCTTCGGTTCCGACTCTCTATCGCCTCTCACTACGTTTAATGTATGATGAAGAATAATAAACAGATGACTTTACGCAAATATTCACATTTGTAGTCAAGTTTGCTTTTAATTACTAATGTCGAATACTGATGAAAGAAGCAAGCGTTATAGTTTTCCCATCCTTCCCTGACACATGAGCTCTTCTAATAACTTGCTGACTGCGCAAAACAAAATTAAACGCTTGTCGAGACTTCAGGGTTATACAGAAGGAAAAGTCTAGCAGACTTACAATATTCTACAAACATACTGAACCAAAATTACAAACACATTTTCATCACTTCCATTCAGTTTAACTCGATCAGGAAACAGTTCCGGTGATAGGAACCAGAACCTTTTTTAAAACTCCCTTACAGAACATTACATGAAATGGTCATGAATACATTGACTGATGTCTGAAACAATGTTTTACAGTAGTTTTGTGAAAACAAAACAAAGTTTAATCAATTGATTTAAATTCATTCATGGTGGAGGGATACATGAAGGGTGTTCTATGGCAATATAGCCCCCAAAGAAAACTTATTTTCAGATTGATCAGTATTTTACCATCAAAAACATTCCATATAAAAACTCAGAAGTCACCTATCACCACCACTGTAAAGAAATCTGAGTCTGTAAGTTTCCCTACAAATTAACCAGTTCACCTCAAACCACTCTGAATGAATTGGTTTATATCTCAACGAATGAAGTATACAGACATTTCGAAAAATCGGTGAATTTCCTCTTTAAGTCTTGAAGAGATAAATGAGGAGTGAGTGACGTGGTTTTGCATGGCGGCACACAGCGTTCAAAAGAGAAACTGCGTTTTCGCCTATTTATAATTTCAACAGCTGATCTAACTGAGTTACATTTATGAAAACCATTGCGGCCCAGTTCAGTACTGGTGGGAGAAAGTCTGGACAACCTGGAGTTTATTATTTTTTCATTAGGCACAGAGTGTAGTTCAGTGTTTACAAGCTCACATAAACAGACTCGGGATCTTTAGAAAACTGTAAATGAGGCGCGTGGAGGAATAAAGCCCATCATCTACGCTCACATAATTCTTATCCGTACACCCTACACTTTTACCCTTTTCCAGATTTTTTCATTTATTTTATAGATGTAGATAAGCAGCACGATATAACAAAGTTAAATGGACAACAGCGACAAAAATAAAAGAAAAAAATGACAAAACTGAAAAAGAAAGCCAACGGTACACTCTAAATGGTGGACGTTTGTTTCCAAAATCAGTCTTGAAGAAAAGCTTTATTTAACGCGGTGCGAGGGCGAAAACTTATCGAGCTCCTTTTAGAGAACGCGCATGACGTCAGTGCCCGTCAGTGGGTGACGCTGCGTCTCTTTGTTGGCTCAGCGGCGGCGGCGCTTCTGTTGTTATTTTTCTCCGCGGCTTAAAAACAGAAATGCTAGCGAGCTAAACATATATATTTCGGGAAGTTTCTTATTTCCTACCACTCTTTGTATCTAGGTAACCCGTTAAACGTTTATATCTTGGCTTGTCACGACCCAGAGTCAGTCTAGTAATGGACTCAGACGAGGGTTACAATTATGAATTCGACGACGAGGAAGAGGAGTGCAGCGAGGACAGCGCCGAAGAGGAGCCCGAAGACGACACCCTGGAGCTCGGAGACGTTGAGCTGGTCGATCCCGTTGTGGCCGGGGGAGAGCGAGACGAGTGCGGGGAGACCGGCGGGAGCGGCCTCGGGCCGGGACAAGATGAAGAAGACTACCGCTTTGAAGTTCTCACCGCCGAGCAGATCCTCCAGCATATGGTGGAGTGCATCAGGGAGGTCAACGAGGTCATCCAGGTAAGTGTTTTAGAGTATACTACAGGTTTGGGAAGGCTTTACGTGTTCAGCGATTAAATAACAGATCAAATGTGCTGCGTAAAATTAGCCCCACCGACGATATTGCCCGGAGAAAAGAAAACTGGGTCACTAGCTAACTAGCTACCTCATCTGGCTTCCTAATCTACAACTAACTTTAGCTGGTTAACGTAAAACGAATTAACTGTCATGGATGTCCTAGGAGAATCATGTAACCTAACGTTAGCAGGCCAAGCAACCAGCCAGTTATCTTCTATTTAGGTGATTTAATAATGAGCTGGGTGAACTAGGTTAACATTAGCCAGCCAGCGTTAGGCAGCTGTAGCTTGCGGACGTATTAAACGACAAAACTAGGTAATTGTGGGTCGATATGGAAATACACTTTACACATTTAAGTTGTCATTTTTGTTTGTAGTTTTTTTGTTAACTACAGCTGATCCTGTAGCTGGCTGTTTATGTATTCTCACGCACAGCTCTGCTCTTGTCCAGACAGAGCAGGCTAATTAGCTAGCTAGCTGGCTACATGCATACATGCTAATACAAACTCATTCTTGTTTACGTGAAGGATGCGCTGTGGTTTTTAATGTTAACTACCAAAAGAACATTTTCCAGTATAGTTTAATATATGATGTTTTCAATTAATTGTGGATTTTGCCCTGACTGCGGCTCTGTATGATTGTCTGGGACGAAAATGCTCAGCTGAAATTTGCTAGCTTCCTAGCTTCCGAGCTAGCTCCTGTTCAGTCCGACAACAACATGGCGGAACTGGTGCCTCATCATGGCTGTTATGTTTGATAACTGCCTTAAATTTTTGTTCAAATAAAAAACAACCCACCTGTCAATAACTCTGAATCCCCCTTACTAGTTATCTAGAATATTTTTGTATGACAAGTGACCATAATAATGTAGTAACTCTTCCAGTAATTTAAGAGGTCTGTGTATTGATGTGGTCAAAATCTGCTAGTTGAGTTATATTGATTGTTTTGCTGGGTTCACTTGGGTCAATAATATCATAATTAAACTAATAGATTTACAGGCCTTCAGCATTTTTGTCGTGTAACGTTTCAGGCACAGACTAGACCCAGAATAAATGCTTGTGGTGGGTATCCATTTTTAGCCTCATTAAACCATCTCTATGATCATTGTACTACATGTACTGTTGTTTTCTTTTTTTGAAAGGTTTGTTTTTTGAAATCATACATTGGTTCAGACACTAATGCTATTGGCATGACATGGGGTTCAGCAGCACATCTGTTAATAGCATGTAGTTTATCTCGGGGTAATTTTGTGTCGTCTACACTACAAGAACACCGTAAGATGTTAAAATTAAAAAATGGCAGTGAAATGGCACAAAATAAGTTGAATATCAGACTTTAGTGATTGAATGGGTTGTGCACAAGAAGATCCTTAGTAACCCCCCAACTGACACTGTACACCATGCCTTGTGTAAGTAGTGCACAAAACCTAGGGCTGGACAATGCAAAAATATATATGGTTATCACAATACATATCGTGTATATCATCAGTTCTTGTAGAACACCGACCAACTGCATGTTTCATTTTAAAGAAAGCAAAATTAGTCTTGTTTAACTAGATTTAGTTTAACAAGTATGCCAAATATTGAAAAAGAAATCGTTGTAATCAGTTTTTGATAGTATTCTTTAAAATGGCCTTACTTATTGGAGTGACATGTAGTCTAAAATAACCCATTGCTTTTGACAACAGTATATTAAATCAAACAGATCTTTTACCACTTTGCATAATAAACAACTTGGCCTAATAAAATATATATAATGATAATTTCTCTTGTTACAGAATCCTGCAACGATCACAAGAATACTGCTTAGTCATTTCAATTGGGATAAGGAGAAGCTCATGGAAAGGTAAGTGTTCTGAGCTTTGAATTAGTTTGCTTTTTACGAATTAAGTCATGTAATCTTATTTATTTATTTATTTTTTTTACTCTGTTTGTATTGTCAAATCTGTATAAATACTACTGCTTATTTTCTTGCAGGTACTTCGATGGTAACCTGGACAAGCTGTTCTCTGAGTGTCATGTCATAAACCCTAGTAAAAAATCCCGGACACGCCTCATGAATACGCGATCATCAGCGCAGGATATGCCATGTCAGATCTGCTATCTCAACTACCCTAACACGGTCAGTGTCTTCCTTTGGTGCTCTTATTACTGCTGCTGAAGTATCCATCCGTAATGTATTTTGTACAGCTCTCTTATCATGAAGTATGATGTAAGCCATCTCTCAATGTGACTTGGCCTTCATATATTTAAAAAAATGCCCTTGTACTGGTTGGAAATTCAAACAGACTGAGAGAATTTTTCTCCAGTGTTACACCATGTTTAAAACACTAACTAACTGTTGTTGTATTGTAGCATGCTTGCCAAAGGAAAGAGGTGGTATTTTTTGTTATTTTGATGTGTTTTTGTTGGTGGTTCTCTGCTTCATACTAGATAGCTTTAAGCATCAGGCAGGATTTCAAATGAGCTGCTTTCACCACTAATCTCTTCACTGGATTACTCAAATTATATACAACGCAGCAGAGCAGACAAACAGGAGAGTCGTAGGATCTGCAGGGAATCTGAAGGATGTGGGTGCTCGCATGTGAATGTTTGTGAATCAACTTTGCTACGTGACGAGATTGAACTGGAATAGTATCGCAGTATGACTGCCGAAGCAGTAGGTTTGGACTGTGTAGAGTTGGGCAGTATAACAATATTTATCATTATAATTTGTATCACAATCTGTCATAATACACTTTTTTGAGCATATCGTTGATATCATCACTACTTGGAGCACTGACCAACAGCAGGTTTTTTTTTGTATGTTTTTTTTCAGTTCTGTTTAGTTTTGAATTGAATATTTTAAGTCTTTTACAGGCACTTAAAACATTAAATATTGTGATGTAGATGATGTAGATGATGTATCTTGAAAATATATATTGCTGACATATTTTGCCACATTGTCCACCCATAGGACGATGAGTTAAATTGTTCTGGTGAAGTTGTTCCCTTGCTGCTTCTTTTCTATGTATAACATGCTTAATATTGCTGTCACATTTATTATTGCTGCATATTTTAATTTTTTGCCTTTTGGAAACACTAAATGCAGCCTTGGTACCATGGCCAGTATTGATCCTCTTGGTGGCAGGTTCACTTAATGGTGAATGAAAATTGAAGACCTTGTTGTATGACCATGTCATACAGTTTTGTACCCACTGCAGACCCACAATTATCAGAGGCTAGCTGGAATGGTAGTGTGATGATTTTAAGAGTGCTGAAACACTTTCTCATGAAATGTGCTTGCTGAAATGAGCAGCATTTTCTGAGTACAGTACAGTATTTGCCTTTGATATAAATGGAGTGCCATTTTGCTGTTAGTCAAGCTTGTTTTGGGTACATACAGGAGGTAATGGTCTACTGAAACATTCGGTTTCATTTGATGTGGCTCCCAAATGTCACGTTAGTTGAAATGCAGCAGGCGGAAATGCTCCCTACAGTTGGGATCAAATCCTAGTGCCAAGGGATTGGACGGTCTGGATCTCTCCCACTGCTTTGTACCCTGATGTACTGGTTCGGACTGCATAGTCAGGAGGTAAAGCTGAGTCATTGGTGTTTTTAAAGCATATTGAGAGAATCCGTACACTTTTGCTGGCTGGTGGTTTGAAAATATCTACCAACAGGATTAGTGTGCACGTTTTTAATGGTAAACTTCTCATTTAAGTGTTTAAGCAAAAATGTCATTGCTCCCTTGTTCTACCACTGGGTTTCTTTAACACGTGTGTTCTCAGTTTTCAATGGAAATAAACTATTTATATAGGTAATAAGTGAATGAGTTCTTATGTCATGGTGCTCTCAGGTGTGTTATGTTTATATTGTAAATTGTAGTTGTGGTTTGTTTCTATAGAGGAGCAGTGTTGTAAATATGTCAAACATTATCTATTGCTGTTCAGCATATTAAGTGCGTTGTTTATTTTAAAATGCTGAGAAATTAATACGTAAGATTGGCTTAAAAGAAAAGTTTGTAGCCGTTAGTCTTCTCTTAATTAACGTAAGGTAACTGAGTGTCTCTCATATCAAGATTTATGTATGCTTTTGTAATTGTTTCATTCATTTCATTCATTTAATCACAGAGGCTTTTGTTTATTAGAAAGCATAATCTTCATACAAGCATATGTGTGTGATATATATGTACATTTATAGTTCCAAGAGCCATCCTTGTAAAACCATTGAATTTTACAGAAACTGACTACTGACTCCCTTCTCTTGTTTTTTGTGGGTTTCCCTCCCTATTAACCGTAACTGCTTCAGTCATCATGTCCCGCTCATCTTTCAGCTGTGTTGCAACTTGGGATTTGTAAACATTGATGCGTTCCATATTATAGTCGTCAGCTTTGTGCTTGTGTCAGAACCACATTAAATTATTTTATTAATGTCCAATTGCACCCCTCACTTTTATGATGTGCCTGTGTCCTTCAGCAATGAGTTCTGCTCCATCCATTGTCGTCATTGATATAGCCAGGTACCATGACATACTGTGACCTGTTCTTGCTTTTCAAAAACAAGACAAGACATTTCTACATGGAATTTAATGCTGTGCTCTGAAAGAGGCTTTCAGAGCTAGGTCATTTTTAAGTGTTTTTAAGGAAGGGCCTCGTTTGTCAAAGATCTGTGTCCAAATATGCAGAACTAAGACTTTGTGCCATTATTCAGACTTACAAAGTTCTTTCATTTCTATGTGGAAGCTTTCTGTAGAGCAAAGCATTGAAGAGTTATCTTTGCCTTGTAAAATCCAAGCTTAGGGGCAGCTAACAGGGAGATTCACAGAATTTAGTTATTTAATTTTTTACCGGCACCCACTGGCATATGGATATTCAAGCAGTAGAACATGAGAGGGAGTGTGTTATCGTGAAGCCGACTCCGCTTTTATACAACAGTTAAATAGATAAAGTAGTAAATAAATAAACTGGTCTGTGAACGTGGCATTTAATATGTTTTAATGTTAGCAATTCCTTCCGCCAAATTATAGTTCCTTAACAAGCAGCTTGTTACTACGTCAGAGTAACGAACTCCGCTCACTCGCTGCACAGCTGGCAGTTAGTTCTCCAGCTCCTTACGCTAAATTCTGAAACTGTCATCACCACCGAGCAAGCTTTTCACTCGGCAGCTGTGACAGAAGAACACCTAAACAACCTGGAATTAGCCAGAAGTGAACTGAATAACATTCGCCAAATGTGTAGTCTCATCTTCAGAGTCTCACCAAATCGGACTGAGTCATAAAATTGCCGCAATATCACGTTTAGTTCAGTTTTGTCATTTTTTGCTAAATCAGTATTAAAGTTGTTTTGTTCCAGCCAGTCTGTAAAGCATTTTACAGCCCATTTTATTTGGCAAATGGTATTCATTTAATTACCGGCTAATTCCAGGTTGTTTAGGTGTTCTTTTGTCACAGCTGCTGGCTGAAAAGCTTGCTCAGTGGTGATGACAGGGTGGGAATTTAGTGTAGTCTCATCTTCAGAGTCTGACCGGATCGGCTGTAGGTCAAATGTGACCTTAAACGTATCCATTTTCTCTTTGCGCACAAAGTTAGAAGTAAAAACGTTCAAATGGCTTGAGCGTCTCCTACAGCTGTCAAAGTCGTTGCTTAGCAACGGCGAGTCAGCGGAGTGATAGTGTTTGTGAAAAAAAAAAACGTGCTGTTATGGCGAAATAACAGCACGGTTAGAACGCTTATCAACCAATCAGCTTGCGTGGCCAGAACTGTTGTAAAATTGGTATGAAGACATTGCGTATGTTACCACAAGCAACGAATGGTGTAGTCATGATTTAAGTCTTCTTACAATATACTTAAACACTAGAACTACATAAACGTAAACAGGCACAGTGGATATTGTTCAGTCTTTGAACATCTGTTTTGGTCCTCTGAATGTGATTCATATCAGAGGTGTGGATTTGAGTCATAACTTTGATGACTTCAGACTTGACATCAAAAAAAGACTAACTTGAACACCAGTGACTAAGACTTTGAATTGGACTTGAGCCTTATGACTTGAAAAGACTCGAGACAGAAAGTGGAAGAAGCCATCCATGTAAATGGATTTGTTTCCTGGCGTATGCGTGCCAGAGCTGTGTCAAATGTAAATTTGTTACACAGCGGTGTCATCAAATGTTTGTTATTATGGCTGTGCTTTCTTTATTTTATTTCAGAGGACAAGTGAGCACAAACACCAGTCTTACTGGAGTAACTTACCAGACCTAACATTTTCCACACCAAAGAACCAAAGAAGTTGAGCTGTCTCTGTTTGAAAGGCTTCTTAAAAACAAATGCACAAGTCGCCAGCATTTTCGTCATAGTGATTTGTTTTTTTTGTGTGAATAATCACAGAAATGTTGATCAGTTTGTATTGGATGGGCAGTACGGTGTAATGCTAGCAAGCTAGTTGTCAGTGTGACGCCCAAAAATGAACAACGGTTACCATCTTTAACATTTTTTTTTTGTTTAATTCAACAGGACTTCTACAAATTCTTTTCATGTGTAGTTGCTTTCTTTTTTGCATACCATTATGTCTGTCCTGGTTGTACAAAACCATGGATTTAGTATTTTAGTAAACTGTTTCGAAGTGTAATAAATTTAAAGGTTAAAAAAAGTTTAAAGGTTAATGTAATGTCCTAACATATACTACCAACATACTGTCATTAAGTGGGCTGTATAACTGTTACCATAACTTTTGGTGCTGGCATTAAATTTGCTGAAGAATCCATACAGCCTTTTTTTATTGAGGACTTGCTTGTACTGACTCTTAAATTGAGACTTCACTGTCTTGACTTGGGATTTGAGGGTTGAGACTTGAGACTTACTTATTACTTACAATTTAGTGACCTATTTTTCCAATCTCTGGTTCATATACTTGCAGCTGTCCCACTAGGCACGAGGATGGTCTAGTGGTAGAGTCTGTTAATCCTTGTAAGATTATTCCATTGATGGAAGCTTTAATATGTTGGTGGTGTCTTCCGATAATGGGAGCATCTGTTGTTAACAAAGAAGCGATGATGTAGAAGTATTTATTTCTGAAAGGTGCTGTCAGTCTCTGTTAATTGGTTTATGCTTTTAACTCCAGGGTCCCACAAAAATATGCTATTAACTGCCAAGTAAAGAACTTTTTTTTATTATTTTGATTGAGATTTTTGCCCTAATATTTTTGTGGTCCTTACCATAGCTTACCACAGCCCACCCCAGACAAACCAAAGTCTCTCTGTGCCTGACTGCATACCAGAGAGCAAATTTGGTAGCTAATATTTTAAAAACACCTGAGTTACGTCAAAATTACTATTTCAAGGCTTTTATTTAAATAGAACAAAAGTGCCTGCACACTGCTTACTTTACGAAAGTTTAGTTCACTTATTTCACACAAGTGAAAATGGGCTTTGGATAGCAGCTTTTTTATAAAGCTGTTTCTTCTGGATGTTAGAGCTGCTGGGCAGTGTGTGCAACCCTGTTTCCAAAAACGTTGGCCCGCTGTACAAAATGTAAATAAAAACAGAATGCATTGATGTGCAAATCATTCAAACCTTGTGTTTAATTTAAAATACTTCAACGACAAAATATCAAATGTTGAAAGTAAGAAATTTTATTGTTGCTGAAAAATAAATACCCATTTTGAATTTGATGCCAGCAACACATTCCAAAAAAGTTGGGATGGGGCAACAAAATACTGGTAAAGTTGCATAATGCTAAAAACCACAAACACTTGGCAACAGGTCAGCAACATGATTGGGTGTAAAAAGAGTCTTATAGAAGAAAAGATGAGGAGGGGTTTAGACTTGTGAAAGACTGTGCAGGCAAATAGTGCAACAGTTCAAGAATAACTTCTCTCAACATAAAATAGCAAAGAACTTGGTGATTTCATCATCTATGGTACATCATTTAAAGATTCAGAGTGTGCAAGGGACAAGGCCAAAAACCAAAATTGGCTGGCCATTATATTTAGGCCCTCAGGCAACACTGCATTAAAAACAGACATGATTCTGTACTGGAAATCACTGCATGGGCTCAGAAAAACTTCCAGAAAACACCGTCTGTGGACACAGTTTGTCGCTGTATCCACAAATGCATGTTAAAACTACTACCTTGCATAGAAAATACCATATACAAGTGTTCTGTGACCCGATGAATCAAAATTTATCATTCTTTTTGAATAATAATCATGGACACTGTCTTCCGGGCTAAAGACTATCCGGCTTCTTATTAGCGCACAGTTCAAAAGCCAGCATCCCTGATGGTATAGTGCACATGGCATGGGTGACTTGCTTAACTTTGAAGGTGCCTTTAGTGCAGAATGATCTATACAGGTTTTGGCAACATGTACTGCCATCCAGATGACGTCTTTTCCAAGGAAAGGCCTTGCTTACTTCAGCAAGACAATGTCAAAGCACATTCTGCGTATATTACAACAGCATGGCTCTGTGTAGAGTTTGGGTGTTAAACTGGCCTGCCTGCAGTCCAGACTTGGCACCTGTTGAAAACATTTGGCAAATTAAGAAACGAAAAGAATGACAAAGAAGACTGTGAACTGTTGAGCAGCTAAAGTTTTATATGAAGAAAGTCTCCTCAGTTTCCAAACGCTTAGTGTTGTTAAAAGAAGAGGTGATGCAACACAGTGGTAAAACATGCCCTGGTTCTAACTTTTTGGGATGTGTTGCTGGCATCAATTTCAAAATGGGCATATATTTTTCAATAAACAATAACATTTCTCAGTTTTTACATTTGATATGTTGTCTTTAATGTTGGGTTCACATAATTTGTATATCATTGCATTCTGCACAGCGTCTCAACTTTTTTTGGAAACAGGGTTGTAAATTAAGCATGGCCAACAAATGCTCGCATTATTTAAATGATTTGTCTTCTGTTTAAGCCACATAGCCACAGATCTGAATTTTAGCAGATGCTAACAATTTTTGAATGTTTGGCCAATTTTATACTTGAGTTGGCTGCTAATACCCACCAGTACCACAGATTCAATGTCCAGCATCCGACAGAAAATAAAAGCCAAAAAGAAAAACAACACAAATGCTTGCTGTCATTGGGCTGTTTATGTTGCTGTGGCTGCTCCACTGTCAGTCACCATACGCTCTGAAATATTCATGCAGTTCTGATCAGGCAGGGAACCTGAGTTTTTCTAGCATTTCTCTCCATTCGAAAACATTTGTAGTTTTGTTGTTGTGGTCAAATCTGGCCTTTGTTAGTAATAAAGTCACAACTTTGTGATCATTATGTTTATGAATTTGTTTTCTCGCTGGTGAATGACACCACAGAATAAGACTTAAAGTCTGTATAATCCCATGGCTTAATATGTGGTAACGTTGAACCTCAGGTTGGAATCAACTGTGTTGTCTGACAATAGGTGGGGAAAAATGACGAGCTTTGCTCCATGCAACTGGTCACAGAGTTAAGAATTTAGCCATTTTCCCCCAGTCATGTTGAGGTGCTTAGGAAAAGTACATAGCAACCTGAAACACTGAGAATGCCCATGTCTAACAAGTGGTTTGTCGTCGCTCATGTTGTGGACATGCAATAGCAGAAAGGCTTACTTTGAGCTTTAATGAAGTTTTGAGAATAAGGAAAAATAAACTCTTACTAAAAAAGGAAAAATCCTTCTTAATGAGATAAGGCTGAGCCTGGAATTGCGGTGATATTAACTGATGTATGCGCGTTTGGTGTTTCCGGTATTGATTTTTACTCCTCTTTTGCAGTACTTCACTGGTTTGGAATGTGGACACAAGTTCTGCATGCAGTGCTGGGGTGACTACCTAACTACCAAAATCATAGAAGAAGGAATGGGACAGGTACACGCACATGGTTTCTCCCCTTTTTCTATGTTCTCTCCCCTCTCTTCGCTGTCATTCTCATCATATGTAAAAATATTTTCATTTGGTGTGGATAGTGAACAAGAACGTAACAAGTTCTGTAATCAGATTCCAGATGTCATTTAATGGAAATACTTATCAAGTTAGTGTTCCTTGAGCCTTTTCCACACAAAGAAATGCTTCATTGGTTGTGTCAAGTTCTTGATAAAAAGCTCATAACCCTGGGACTGAGATTGAAATTCTGCTAAACCGAATGATCATTATGTGACCCCCTTTTGTTGTTGTTTCATATGTAGTTTCTGTGCTGGATTGTGCTCACTTTTAAAACTAGAGCAAAATCTTAAAGGCAAATTTTTTTCAAAATTATGTGTAGTTTAGTTATTTGAGATGTGAATAGCTATTCACTGTGGTTTGATGTAAAAATGTGCATTGTAGAGAAACCTGACAGGTCAGATTTCTTTGCAGTGGTGGTGATGGGAACCTAGGGTCACAGTGTCTACTTTTTTTTTATTTTTATGAAAAATCTGTAGAATTCCCTTTTAGGCCTCAGGTAGCCTAGTTTCCTCTTTGCTTATAGATGGCTAACTTTTACCTTTGTTTTGTCTTTTAACATGTGCCTACTTGTTTTCGCTCCAGACCATTTCCTGTCCTGCACATAGCTGTGACATCCTGGTCGATGACAACACGGTCATGTAAGTGCTTGAGTTGTTCTCCCTTTTTTAGGAAAAAGTTTTATTGTCCTGTGAGGCATAATTTGCATCTATCACTGCTTTTGCTATACTGTAGTGTGAAATGGTAGCTGTGGGAGGTGTTGAGACATCAGCTTGTCTGGTAGGTTTAGAGCAGCCTGTCTGGAGCCCAAACTGAGCAGTCCTGCAGAGGCGTGATCTGCAGCACGCTCTCTGTCTCACAGCTGAGCTGACATAGTTTACACTAGAAGTAGGACAGCCCCACTCACTGAGTCTGGAAGTGCGAGCCCAGGCCTGCTCTCAACCTGCCAGATGTAGAGAAAGGTTTCTTGGGAGTCCTCTGTCTCTAGTTATAATCTAATACCGGCCTTATTGACTTCATTATAAGAAAATAAAATTTGATCAACACACATGTGCTGCCTTGGGTGAAATGTTTGTGTCCACATGATGGATGCTGATGGTAATCTCTTGTTTCACCCTGCTGTAATGCCAACAGTAATTGTCTTAACCTACATACTGTTCTTGCAGCATGGGCAGTGGTGTTCTGGGACTGTGTGTGTGTGTGTGTGAGAAAGAGAGAAAAAGAGAGGTATAGGCACTGGGCATCAGTTATTGAGTAAAGATGCCAAGATTTCACTGAAGAATGAACCATTCTTTTTCCTTTAATGTCAGTTTAAGACTCGTAAACTTCACCAAACTGTAGTCACGCTGTACTGGGATAGCCAATAAAGGTCATATGCTCATGACAGCTCTTGGAAGCATTTGGATCTAAAATGTTTCCATATGTATCAGGAAGTGACTATTACAGCCAGGAGTTGGAGTTCAAGCTGAGCTGTAATTTTTGTTTGTGTGTTCCCTTTTTTTGTGATTTTAAATGTTCCTGTATGTTTTGTTTTGTTTTTTTTTCCGCCAGGCGACTAATAACAGATTCAAAAGTGAAATTGAAGTACCAACATTTAATAACCAATAGTTTTGTAGAGGTAAGTGCACAATTTGCCTTAGGTTTGTTTTGAGCTAATTTCACAATAAAGTTTTGGAATTAACAGCTATACTCCTTTTTTGAAGCCTTGCATGCTTGTACAGCACTGTGCAGAAATCAGAGACCACCCTTCATTTATTTAATTTCCAGTCAAAATGGACATTAAGCACAAGCTATTCATTTTTCTAAAATTTCAGAGGAGATTAGATGTAAGATGATAATCCTTTAGGACAAGTAAGGGAACTGTAAGGGAAGAGTACTGTATTTGTTTGCATACAAGGAAAGCATTTGAACTGAGTTTGCTACATGTAGATTTCTGAGATTTGTTCTCTTCCCACTCTTTCTGCAGTGCAATCGACTGTTAAAATGGTGTCCTGCTCCTGACTGCCATCATGTTGTCAAAGTCCAGTACCCCGATGCCAAGCCTGTCCGCTGCAAATGTGGCCGGCAGTTCTGGTAAGAGACTTCTAAGCTCCACATATCAGATTTTGTGAATAGCCCTGTGGTCAGGCCAGAGGGTTTGGTGTCTGCTCCATTCCCTGCCATGCAGCTGACACACTTGAGCTCTCCCTCCCCAGACAGCCCCAGGGCACCTTGTCCACTCATCACAGTTTCCTGTTTGTAGTTTCCTCCCTAATCCCTCCAACTGGAGCACCACGCTGGTATAAACCGATTACCTGCTGTGGCCTCCCTTCGTGCTCACACAGATTACTGCTGACATAGCTATTCACTGATAGATTTCAGCTACTTTTGGTTTTATTTTAATTTGTTTTTTGACAGAGAGACTCTCATCTACTTATAAATTAATTGTATGACTGTGAATTTTGCTAATTGATATACTTTGTACATTGTTGTGCCTCCAAGTTGTCTTAAGGTGTGTCTGGAGAGTGTTGCTATGAAGCATGTTGGTGTGAAGTACTGTTGTGGTCTTACCTAGTGAATATAGTGTAGTTAACTGTGGTGATGGTGCTGATTTGTTGAAATGTAATCTTAGAACTGGCCCTGTTAAGTTTCAGTTTATGCACAGGATTCTAGTGACTCATTTGTGATGCAAAACAGGACTAAATTATTCCAGTGTTGTTCAGAAGTAATCATGAAGAGTATCTCGAGTAATTATCAGTAAGGTAGGCATATTGATGAAAGTTTATGCTTTTCTGATGTGATTTTAACATGCTCTCAATTCATTCCTCAATGCAGCTTCAACTGTGGTGAGAACTGGCACGACCCAGTGAAGTGTAAGGTATGATCAAAAGACTGTCTCTCAGCAGCTTACAAATACATCTAGTAGGATATAATGTATCATTCTGATATTAAAGCTCAATACTGTCCAACAGCAGCTTTATAAAGTATTGGCTTATTCTACTATAACCATAGTGTTGTCGCTTTTTGTCTTATCCTCAAATAAATTGAGTGTGTGGTTGTTGCGTTTTGAAAAATAATATTTGTTACTTCTAGATGGCAACAATTTAAATATCTTACTGTTTTTGATGTTCTGTATTGTTATTAAACTTTAATAGATAGATCTGATATGTTTTATTAATGTTATATAATTGGCTAAACCATGGCCTGGTACTTGTTCAGCCATTTCCATTGCAGAATCACAATGAATCATAAATGTCAGATTTAACTGAAGCTGGAACTGGTGGTCATGAAAAATGCACATGGATAGTTGCATGCAAAGCATGTAGAGAGTACAGGTGAAGACTAGTGAAGCTCTGCTTCTGGTGAGGAATTTGTTTCTCTCTCAAAGCAGAGCAGGGAAACAGACTGCCACCTCTTCCACTCAGTGCTAAGAGCCTCTCTAGAGACATGCCTTGTTATTGCGGGGGTAGTCTTGACGAAAACAAAGGAAGCTTCTCGTCCCTAGTGTCTCTTTGACGTGGATTAGCAGCGCCTTTGAATGAGCTCATTCTTAACCCTTCCTGAACCTTGTCATGTTTTTTTCTGGTCCAGTATTTAAGGTTTTTAACCTTCACTTTATGCTCTGTTGCGTCAGCCCAGTTTTAATGTTTAATGTTTAGTTTAAAAGCAGTAACCCACAGCACATTAATAGGATTTGGGCAAATAGGTAGTGCCTCAACTCTGCTGTTTCTATTGCATTTTTTTCCTTCTAGTGGTTGAGGAAATGGATTAAAAAGTGTGATGATGACAGTGAGACGTCCAACTGGATTGCTGCAAACACCAAGGTCAGTGGTGTGGGATGCTCTCAAGTTATGAATGTCCTCTACTTGGCCTTTTGGCCCTGTGGGATTACAGCTCTCTTCCTGTTGTGCTGCAGGAATGTCCCAAATGCCACGTGACCATAGAGAAGGACGGCGGCTGCAACCACATGGTGTGTCGGAACCAGAACTGCAAAGCGGAGTTCTGCTGGGTCTGCTTAGGCCCATGGGAGCCCCATGGATCGGCCTGGTGAGTCCAGTCATATGTCATATGTGACTCATCTGTTAGAGAATCTTGTTAGGTATTAGGTTTCAGAAGTTTTATTAGAATAGCTGAACAGTTAGGGCTGGAACAATATGTTGGGTCAAATTTATCAATAAAGATCAATAATTTTATTGTTATTCAGTACATTTAGAACAGGTTCCTTGTCTTCCAGAAGCAACACAAACCCATAAGGCATCTTCAGACCAAAGCTGCATTTGAAATTGCTCCTGAAAGTTGTTCAAAATACAGCTCTTCATAGTGCTGCAGCTTAAATTTTCAGCAATATATTTTTCAGCTGTTCATTGTCTCCAGTTAGTTCACTCTATAGCAATCAGAAGACAGGGATTTTTATCTGTGTGGCACCGTGCTCACTTTACGCACCTCATAGGGAGCTCACTGCTGTGTATGTAAATGAAAACCAGGACTAGAATTTTGGATAATCAGTAATCGGAGCACTCAAACTTGGAAAAAGGGGAAAAAAAATTCCACTTATTGGATGTTCCACTTGTTGTTGATAATTATCAGTGATTCAGTAACTGGTCCCTGCCCTACAAACAAAAGTTGACCAAAATGTTGTATGTAGAACTGTGGGGCAGAGAACTGATACAATGAAAGGCATTTTATTGCAGCACTTTCCTTAAAGGACACTCCAGCCAGTAGAAATGGCTCCGGTCCTGATGTGGAACTTTAGTCACCCAGATTTTCTGGGCTTTTTGCTTTTTGTTCTTTTGTCCTTTGTCTTCCTTTTGGAAAAAGGAATACTTCTTATGATTTAATTTAATTTCCTGTTTGTAAACAGTTTTGGAAAAAGGGATCACCACACTCTTGGTAAATGAGGTGTGACACATGGGTGCAGATCAGCATTTGTTGTAATGTGTTTAATGGGATGTGAGCTAAATTTGAGTTCTGTGTTGTCACGTTGAATACAGACCAGTACTTTCAAAACTGTTCTCTTCGCAGGTACAACTGCAATCGCTACAATGAGGATGATGCCAAGGCAGCTAGGGATGCGCAAGAGGTAAACAATGTTGGCATAATATTTTGCAGTAACACATTTTTTTCCAAGTATAAAAAAGCTTTTAGAGCCAATTCTCAAACTCTCAAACTTGATGTAAAGCATGCCTGCATGTATCCATTAAAACCCAGTGGAGACCTTATGGTTGAGCGCTTTTGGATTTGGCCTGCTTTATTTCAAGCTCTGCTCAGGGAAAAATTGACTAATGTGCATGCATATGTGTTCTTTTGTAGCGCTCCAGGGCAGCCTTGCAGAGGTACCTGTTCTACTGCAACCGCTACATGAATCACATGCAGAGCCTGCGCTTCGAGCACAAGCTGTATGCTCAGGTCAAGCAGAAGATGGAGGAGATGCAACAGCACAACATGTCTTGGATCGAGGTGCAGTTCCTGAAGAAGGCTGTGGATGTGCTGTGCCAGTGCCGCTCCACACTTATGTTCACCTATGTCTTTGCCTTCTACCTCAAGAAGAACAACCAGTCCATTATCTTTGAGGTACGTTGGGGAAGACTGCTGGAGTTCTTTTAGCATGGTTGTTTACAAGAACATTGTAAGTTGTTTATTGGTTATGGGAATGGGGGATGTGGCCGAAATATGTCATGATACTTAAGCCTAAGGTGCTCTGTCCTGGTTCCAGACATCTATACCGCTGGAGAGTTCATTTAGCTGCACCCCTCATCTAAGTATGTTAGATTAGGGGTGAAGCGAAACTCTGGAGGGTGGTACATCTCCAGAACCAGGACTGGGCCACCCTTGCTTTTAAGCTACTAACTTGATACATTATACACATTGCGATAAGTCCCAGTAGTGCTTTTAAAAAAATACAATAAAAACTGTGAATACAATGTTTTCAACAGGGGCAATTAAGGTCTCTTTGTAATAAAACATGCAGTTGCTCAGTGTTGTTTAAGTATTGATACCCACAACATATTTTGATGAAACGTGATGGAACTAATCATGATAACAATAAATATCATCATGTTGTCCACCTGTAGTTGGAAACTGAACCTGATCTCAGTGTAAGACATAGGAGTGAAAAATGCATCGGTCTGAAGGTGCTGATTCAGCTGTGTCAATTTTGAAGTGTTAGAGCTTATTATAATAATATTCAAAAAAGCATGCTCTCATTTTTTTTGCACATAATGAAATTCTCATGCTGTATTCCAATATAAAAATCCAAAAAAAGCTTTCTGTATAGTTTTTGTCTGTGTCCTGCCACTGTGACCATACATGGGTTTCTCATCAACTTCTTTTTTTTTTTTTAATGCAAATAAAAAACCTGGATGAAAAGCCAGAAAAGGAGCGGGGTTGCCTAAATATCACAAAAAAATGTTTTTAATGCTTGGTTGGGGTGGAAAAGTTGGTTTATCGATAAAGGAGAAATGCGAAGACCTGTGATAGTAAACTGATTTTGAGTAAGTGTTGACGGGAAGCAGGAATGAAAGTCTCGTGTTTGGCGCTACGTCTATTTAGAACTGGTGATGTTTGCAAATGTTCTGTGGGCTGCGGTGAAGTGGGACAGCAACTTCAGCCCTTATTTAGATGGGCTGCCGCCTGCAACACTTTGTATCTCTGAACTGTTAGAGCTGTAGCCAGGTACAGGTGACGGGTCTGTCAAAACTGCTCTCCTAAAAGCTAGTAAAGGTTTGTATCCCTCCATTGTATATCTATACACCACACCAGGCTAATTCAGTGGTTCTTAACCTTTTTCACAGTGACACCCTTTTTGGGGTTAAAAATAGATTGCAACCCCCTCCTTTACCAGCCACCCGCTCCCAATACACACCAGTATACTACATTAAAGAAATGACAGAAGAATAATCAAACAGCAGATCTGCTCACTGACTGGGCCTGTGTTTCTTAGCACTTCGCCGCAAACCATCAGTATGTAGCTTGGAGTTGAGAAAATGTTTCAGGTTTAGCAGTCAAGCACGACAATCCCTCCATAACAAGCTCACCCAGTCAATTCATAAGCTATATTAGCCTGTCTTTCATGGCCTGTAGGTGGAGCCATTCAGCAGAACTTGTATGCTCTAATCAGAATGATTTTCTCTGTGATTGATATGGTAAATGTCTTGTGGTACCACTCTTATGACCCCCAGGTTAAGAACACCTGATTTAATCAAATCATTGAGGACTGACATTTACCCACCTTCTGATAAATAATCTGATCTGAAGTGCACTTGTGTGTGCGGCTCCTCTCTTAGAACAACCAGGCTGATCTAGAGAATGCCACTGAGGTACTGTCTGGATACCTGGAGCGAGACATTTCCCAGGATTCACTGCAGGACATTAAGCAGAAAGTACAAGACAAATACAGGCAAGTCTGCTGATGCCTCTGTTTCTGTCCAGTGTCACAACGCAACCATGTTTTCCTTCATGTTAAATTTTAAAGATGTTTAATGACTTTGACCTGCGTGTGTAACTCTTTTGTGCAGATACTGTGAGAGCAGACGGAGAGTTCTCCTGCAGCATGTGCATGAAGGCTATGAGAAAGACCTGTGGGAGTACATTGAGGATTGAGACAGCGTCCTCCCACCACAGACTCTCGGAGAGTGCCTCCGCCAACTAGAGCGCTGATGCAATTGAACCAGGGCAGCACAGGCCTCCGCTGCTGCCCCTCCCCTTCCCCCTCCCGGCATCCCGCCCAACCCTTCTCCCTTTATTCCTTTATATTTTTTCTTTTTCTTTTTTCTGTTTTTGGTTTCCTGGAAAAAAACAAACTTAAATTATATTTAAATGAAAAACTACAACATTCGAAATAAAAATGACATCTACCGCAGTATTGTTAACCGAGTGATGTGCAAGAAGACTTGAGTTCCAACAAAAACGGACAGGAAAAAACATCATCTCTTGGCTATTGTAACATCTCCCGTTAAATTGTCTTTTTTCCCTCATTTATCACTTTTTTTCCATGAATGTTTTTCTGTTTGATTTTATTTTATATAGGCCTATTTTGTGTGTGTGTGTGTGTGTGTGCGCGTGTGTTTTGTGAGCAGTGGGACTATGTTTTCAAAATGGCTTTAATTGTCCTGACCATGTCCTTTGTGCGTGGTGAGATCCATGTCTGGGTTGCTGAATGTTGATGGGTTGATTGTAATAGGGGGGAAACCTTTTTTCAATTTAAAGAAAAAAAGAAGTTAGTGGGGATAAAATAACACAAAAACCAACAAAAAAAGCAAATCGGTATTTTTCAATTTGTACATAATGCATATGCATGGAAGTTAAAGAGCAAGAGTGGCACGTGTTTGCATAATTTTTAAATTTAAGAAGATATTTATTCTTTACAAATATTCAGAAAAAAACAGATGTATATTTGCTGTGTAGATTGAGTATCTCTCTCTCTCTCTCTCCCTGCCTTTGTTTGTCCCTCTTCTGAAGAGGTTCGGACGTGCTTGACCCAAAGCAGGAGTCCAAATCTCTCAGCCTCTTTCGCTCCCCCTCCCCGGCTCCCCCAACCCCCCCCGCCTCCTCCTTCCCCCGGGGCCGGAGCAGCGCTGTAGGAGACTGAAGACTGAACTCTGCCAAATGAAACGCAGTATGCCAAGGAGGAGCATTTAGTTTATTGCTCAAAGCTACAAGAGCTCACTGGCAAGAAGAGCAGGGGAATTAGAATGACGTCAAGTCTTAGGAGGAGTTTCTTAAGAAGACACAAAACCTGTAGGAATACATGCCACTGACAAAGAATGGCGAAGACCTTTTCTAGCACTCCACCAGCCCCTTTCTGGTGCGTGTTTTCCCCCTTAGGTAGAATTTGAACTGTGATCTGATTTTAAGAGTGATACCAATAACCTCTGAGAGCCAAACTGAGTGACATTCACTCATATATATAATATCTCTATATATAAATATATAAAAAAAACTTTTATATTTTCTGCTTCTCTCTCTGTCTGTAAAGGTTTCTCGTTCTTCCCAGAACTGGCTTGAGGTTTTCTTTGGTGTGCTTGTGGGGCAGGGGTTTGAGGGTGCTGGCATGTATGAATGGCGTTGGTCGGAAAAAGCTTTCTGGATTGAGCCACTGTCAAGCAGATGTGTTTCTCACATCCATATCAAACGCTGCAGATCCGCTAGTCTGTCATCTCTTGTGTTTTGCTGTGAAATTTAAATGTCGCTTTCAACTATGCTGTGCTCAGGGGGTCATGTGTATCAAAAATTCTCACTGTACCAGTGCTGATCTTGGCTTAGTTTTCACTTTTTTCTTCTTCGTGTGTAAAGAAAACAGGATAGCGAGAGCTGTGTTTTGGATCAGTACTCTACTCTGAGATGCCTTTATACATATGAGGCCAGGTGCAGTTTGGACTGGGTTTAATCGAGGGCTTTAGTAGTTTGATAGCAGAGCTGTGGTTGAGCCGGTATGCTATGCTTTGGAACTGTATAAGCTATGTTTAATCAGTCAAGGGAAAAAGATGGTGGCAAAGACATATTAGTTCTTCTGTGGGCTTAAGAGTGAGATTAAGAGAGTTGGGAGATGTTTCACAAAGGAGGATGATTTGCCCATGGTCAAGCTTATCCAGTGGGAGAAGAGGTAAGGGACATTATCCAGGGACTCTTATTGGAGAGACATACTTTTTGGCTTAAATTATCTAGCTTTACTGAGAGATCCTGCTCTGTGACATACCCCCATGTTGGGGTTTTCTGCTCTTATGTGTAGCTGGTGGTCAGAAGAACTTGAATACAGCATTAGTGCAGATGAGCTTCTGTGGTCTGATGACACCAAAGTGTCCATCTTGCAAATGGATAACCTTCATGCTTCTGAAGGGGGAAAAGGTGGTTCTAGCACAGGTTTTTGTTCAAGAAATCAAGATGCGTAATTTAAATGAACACCCTAAAACAGTGTTTCTTAATCCTTCTCCTAGAGACCCACTGCCCTCACAGTTACAACAATTCCCTGCCTGATCCAGCTCATGAAGGGCTGGTAAACGGCTTATGAGCTGGATCAGATGTGTTCAAGCAGGAGATAGTTGCGAGTCCCCATTAACAAGACACTTATTTTCCAAATTGGACTTGTATCAGGGTTACTAGAGTATCTTTTAAATGTATATTGTCCTTCAACAAGGTGTGAGGAATGAAAGGAGCTTGCTGCCATGTGCATTCAGCCCATCTTAAATGCACATAGCTGAGAGCTGTGAGGGGTCTTCCAGGTATACTTTCATAATCCAACTAAAATCAACATGGCTAGACATGGATTTAGACTTCTAGGCAGGTTGCAGAGCAGTGTATGCAAATACATGTCTGATGTTCTTCTCTTTAGCATTTGGATGTGAGTGAAGCGCTATCATGTCCCAGTGTCTCCCATGACAGCTGGAAGTTAAGTGGGGTTTGTGAAGATGTGCAATGGTCTTTAGGCTGTGTCAGTCATGCAGATCACTGTGGCTGTTACTGTGTCTTTCAGACCAGTCTGCTTTTTCGAGGCTCCCTGTGTATTTGATCCTGTCTTGGTAGTTCATGAATTATCCCAATTTAACATTCACAGTAACAAAAAAAGCAGCTACTTTCATTTGGTTGAGACATCCAAAAAAAAACTTTTAATACTTTTCTACATATATCTTTTCTTTATGCTATTAAAATGTTTGATTTCTTATATACATAGTGTAAAATGTGGAATAAATTAGTTGTCTGTTTTGGAGAAAAATATTAAAGTGCAAAATGTTGCAAATGTTTTGGCTTTTGTCTTTTACTTTTTGAGGTAAGCCTGCCTTGTATCTACACCCATTGTCCATTTTATCAGGTCATCTTACCATATATGTACACTTTGTAGTTCTACAGTAACAGACAGTAGTTCTTGAAGTGTTTCTCTGCATAATTTGTTAGCCTCCCTTTATCCTGTTCATCAATGATCAGGACCCCCATAGGACCACCACTGAGCAGGTGTTATTAGGGTGGCAGGTCATTCTTAGTGACAAGTATTTAAATAACTCCTCACTGCTGAACTGAGAATTGTCCACTAACCAAAAATGCAGTACTTAAGCATTTATGAACCACTTCGGTTCTCTGAAAGATGCCCTGACACTTAAATAAGAGAAAATATTTATGAAAATGATCACTTCAGTTTAACATCTACATCTTTTACAGATCTTAGATGGTGTTTTTAATTGGTCCTCTGCCTTATAAGTTCCATTACTTGGGAGTGACTCTTCATAACTGTTACAAATGGAACGACTGTTGATCACTTCAGTTTAAGGGCCCTTAAGTCAACACAAAGCCCTTCATAAAAACAGTCATCCTGTGAATACTGACAAACTGTTTACAAATACTTCATTGTTCAATGTCCATGCATGAGTTATGAAGTCTGTATATACAATCAAATGCAAACATCTGAATAATCCTTAACACATCCTCCACAGCAGGCGAGTCAAACTCAACCACTAAAAGGGCCAATTTAAGGGCCAGAGAGTGCCTATGTTTTCATTTCATTTTGAAATAACATTTTGCTGTAACCTGAAGTGGCGATTGTTTATTCTAAATATGGCAAAACGTTAACAGCAAAATACAGGCACTTGTAGTAGACTTTGAAATATTACATGAGAACTTGATTTGATAGAATTGAGGTGTAATTGCTGCCCCATAGATTGTTGTTGGTGTAGGGGAGTGGGAGCACACATTGTGTTGCAGTGCATGCTGGGAAATGTTGGGCAGGGCATTGTGAAATGAGCTATTAATAGAAAATTTGTGTTTGACATATGGGCTCTCTAGAGAATCAACTTAAATAAGCAATTTCCCTGCAGATTTTAGCGCACAATTTTTGTTTATTTGCTAAACTTTTATTGGGGGGGTGCCATAACTTTTGCACATGCCACATTTTATGTTTTATTGTGTTGAAATACATTAAAATTTAGCAAATAAACAGTAATTGTGCATTAAAATGTGCCAAAGGAAGATGTGTTAACTTATTTTCACTTAGAAAATCAACACGTTTCCCCAGCGGCACGAAGGTAGCCTTCGAACAGATGGCTCCCAAATATCCAGTCAACAGCATCCTGTGCCTAGAAACTGACCGCAGATGAAGCACTAGATAATGAATGACACAAGCTTTGCAGCAACAGATGAGCTAACGTCTTTAAATTTACATCTACAAGGTGGACCAACAAGGTAGTGTTTAATAGAGCGGACAGTGAGTGAACACAGAGTCACGAACTTGATGCAATGCTCCTGTGTGACTACCTTGTCAATGTCACTGCAGTGTTGAGAATGATCCACCACCCAAATAATGCATACGCAGTAGGGGTCCTGACCCCCAAGGGGGGGCTAACAAATTATACAGAGAAACGGGTGTAGACAGTCTGTAACTGTACACCTATAAAGTGCACCCACATAGTAGGTGGACCTGGTAAACAGGGTAGATAAGTAAGTGTACCTAATAAAGTGCCCAGTGAATGGTTCAGTAGCACAAAATTAGGCCGTGATTTTAATACCTCCCAGCATTACAAAGCAGAAAAACTTTTTTTATTACTTTTTATTATTGTTGATGCTTTTATTGCCAGACATTCTGTTTCATAAAGCTGGATTGTATTAAAGCTCCGGTCACTGTATTTTAATTTTGTTCACAAAGAATGTGAAGATCCTTAACTTCTGAGCGTGAACAGTTTAACCACAAGAGGGAGCTGGAGTCATTGTAAAAGTCAATCTATCCAAACTTCATTACCAGAGCAAATGTAATATTATCATGATATGGGCATAAGTGAAGCCTGCAAAGTATCACAAACAAATTTAATAAACAAATATATTCACCAGAGGCATCATACAAGACAAAGTCAATGAAATTGAACATATTTTTTCCTCAGCAGCAAACGTTATGGTCAATGAACCTGAAAAGAAATGAAATCCTAGTATAATTTAAGTAAAAGCCCCCAGCAGTATCAACGAAAAGAAATGCAGAGAATGTCCACTCTTTTCTAAAATTGCTGTCAATGTCTTATTCTTTATAGATGTTCATATTATAAAATGCTTTTTATGACACCACTTTACAATAAGTCTACCCTAATAAAGGGTTTATGAATGGTTTAAAATGAATTTGTTATGTCATTAGTGGTTATTACACCTTAAAAATCATTAATAAGCAGGTATAACATAAATAGACAAGCTGACAGACGCTGACTGATGGAGAAGACAAAGTAAAATAAGGTAGATCTGAGCTTTAACAGTATGGCCTACTGGGCAAGCAACAGGTCACATTGTTATAACTACTTATTGATGCTTTTGAGTGCTTATGATCTATTTATAGCCATTAATAATCTAATTCTAAACCACTCATATTGTAAAGTGGTGCCCTTTTAACATAGCTTATGTGTGACAGAAAACAGAAAGGCACTTTGGACTGATTGTCACTAGGTATGACTGAAGTGCTGAAAGGGGAAAAAAATTGGATCATGAAAGTTTCAAGAATTTTAAGACCATCACAAGACAGCAGCCACTATAAAACATCTGTAAACACGGAAGTCTAATGGCCATTTGGTACTTTTCTGCTCTGGAATGTGGATCACCTGAATGTTTCAATTAGATCAGCTCACATTAGCTGATTCCTACAAATTTGCTGGAAATATAAAATTAAAAAATAAAACTTGGCTTCACAGTTAAAACCGATATAGCAGCTGTTAAAAACTTGAAACAGACTTGAGTCAGAGTAAACAAAAACCCGTTATGAATGTAAGTATTATTTAAATTTTGTCATCTACACAGTACTGTGCAAAAGTCTTAGGCACCTAAGCGAATTGCTTACAACCGTTTATCTTGGCAGTAACTGTGTTTTGAGCTTGTAAAAATGCAGTAAAAACATCTAAATACATGCAGACAAACATAAATACAGTAAAAATTAGTTGATATCTTGTTAGCTGGTTTGAAGAACACTGGTTTGGTTCCTGATTTCTTCACAACACCCCCATCCATTGTATAGATTTGTTATATTCCATCACCAGCACACCTGATTTAACTTAATGAAGGACTGATTGAGCCAAAGGTTTTGGACGGTAACTACAAATAATACTGAGCTTCCTCGGGGAGAGGTGTGGAAATGGTTAAACACAATGGCATGTATAAAATCCCTACTTGTTGTATTAATATTATTTGCATACAGTTTAATATTTGTGTTTTTGAGCAAATAAATGCTTTTCTAAGGTGCCTATGACTCTTGCACGGTATTGTTTATGAAAAAACAACCAACTATGATGGCACAGGAAACTATCACAGAGGTCTCCTTTTAAAACACCTGTGCTCATTCATCATATTCACTTTTTCAAATGAAAGGAAGTACTGTATCAACAAAAGTCTTCACAGTTTAAACAGTCACACTATCACCCACCACCAAAACAAAAACAGAAACAAATTCAGTCCTCAATTTTAAGCCACCCTTTCTTATAGTCCACAAGCAGCTCCAGATAGTACTGCCACTCGGGCTCGCTGTCGTATTTCACCTCAAACACGGTCTTCAGTGGGTTGGAATGGGGCTCGTGGATGCGCAGAACCACGCCCCTATACCACACCTCTGTCTTGTCGTTCTCCTCATACAGATGGCGTATCCTTTTACCCACCAGGTCAGGGTACCTTTTCCTTAGGGCCTGCCTGGCGGTCTGCACGGCTGAGCGCAGCACCCACCTCCTCCTATGTTTTGAAGCACAGCGATTGGAAAGGTAGGGGCAGTACCGCGGTCGACGCAGACCAGAGGAGAGCGTGTGTCGCTTCTTGGGCTTAGAGCCTCCGTGTTCCTTTTTCCTGCGTCCATCACCTCCTCTCTTCATGTTCGGAATCTCAGAGTGGTCCAGGACCCTCTGGTAGCGTGAGACCCGTCCCTGGCGGCCGTTGGTGTAGTAGACTTTTCTCAGCTTGAGAACCATACCAGAGTGGCTCTTTGAGAAGCTGCTGGACAACGGGCTCTGACGTGACGACCAAGAGGACGTCTCCATCTCTGCGTCGCTGCCTTCCGACGAAAGGTCATCTGAGGTCACCGGCCGGCCCCAGGAATTCTCAGGCTCTTGCTCGGTGTCCTCCTCAATCTTCACCTCAACATGGCCCCCCTCATCACTGCAGGCCACTTGGACATTTTCCCAGCCCTCCTCTGTCAAAGAACCTTCAAAGCACCAACTTGCAGATTCCTCAGCAGGTTCATCCTCAGGTGAGGAACTGTCATCTCCTAAAAACATCCTCTTGCAGGCACTCTTCACCCTGCCTTTGCTTTTATGCTTCTTCAGGCAAGACGTTTCTTTGAGGTTCTCTAGGTGTGTCATGGTATCTGGCGTTTGCGGCCTCGGGGATGTGCAGTGTATCTCCAGCTCATTAACAAAACTTTCAGCTTCATCAGAGCACTCTGCACATTCTCTCTTAAAGGTGGAGCTGAACTCTACTCCTGCAAAGAAAAAGTCAAAGATTAATCTCAAATCAGGACTCAAGACTTTAGTTTGCGGGACTGAGAAGCATCAAATGGAATAACTGCACAATCAGTCAAAATATAATATTTACTGTTAACTCCGATGTAGAAAGACTGTAAATCCATTCCATATTTATTCTAGTCTTTTAACTATATTCATACTAAATGTTGGACCTCATTCATCAACCATTTTTAAGAAGAAATTTCTTACTCCACTTAGGCAGTTTTCACAAAGATTCTGACATTCACCAATGTTCTCTTATTTGGGATTTGTTCTTAGGTAAGAACAGAATCTACACACACTCAGGAGCACAAAGGTGTGAACAATTCTGCAGTTTAAGAACACATCATGAATCTAAAATAGATTTGAGGACCTTTCTCAAAAACAAATTTAAGAAAAAAACTTACAAAGATATTGGTGAATGAGGCCCAGTTTTTTGTGGTAGAGTCAAACAACTAGTAATTAGATGTGTACATCTAATTGTGTACATCTAATACACAGTACCGTGCAAAGGTCATCTGTCTAATTCCTTGTCAAAACAGTCATCAAGTTTTTTTTTTGTTTTTTTTCACTGTCAGAAAAAAAATATTTAAAACAGGAAATTACACAAATGCCTCCACAACTAAATACAGTGTCCACCCTTTGCCTTTATTACAGCTTTCATTCTTTTCTCGAGACTTGCTTTCAGTTTTTCAAAGAAATCTGCAGGAATATTTTTCCACACAAAGTTCAATCTTAAAAGTTGGTTGCATTTTCTCATTTTCACAATCCAGATAAATGAAATCAATGTCCATTTTTTAATGACTCATAAATTTCAATTTTTTATGTCTATTTGATTTCTCAGTAAGAGCTTCTTTACAACTACACATCCCTGCAGACCCATAGCACTGAGAGGTCCTCTTACTAGTGTTGTTTAGACAATGACAGGCTGAGTCAAGGCTGAGCCTTGGACACATCCAGTCTGAGTCAAGACCAAGACTTTGTAGTAGTCGAGTCTTAGTCAAGACTGAGACCAAACCAAGACCAGATTCATTTGTATTAATTATATATTTGCAATTTTCCAAAAAATGGGGAAAAAAAGAAATTTAGTAGATTATCATTCGTTATACAGTATGATTTACATTAATGAATGTTATATTTTATATTTAAAAAAATATGTAGCCTAAAAATATGATAAATTATTATAATCTTAGTCCAACATTTCATTGTTACTTTTGATGATGATCACTTATTGGTGATTATTATTACCATTGTAGTAGAATGAATACATAGCATACATAGCAAATACATGGCATTTTTTCACCTTACGCAAGATGATTATCTTATACCTAATATCCTCAGATATATCTCCAGAAAAAAAAAAAACAAATGAAGGGAGGTCTCTGACTTTTGCACCATACTGTAAATAAACACAACCAACCACAAACAGAATGTGCAAAGAATGTTCCAAGGTTAAAAAATGCCCAAGAAATAACAGAATCCAGGAAATGAAAGAGAAGCCATTTACATCAGGACACATTAGCTTTTCAGGAATAAAATGGCTAACTGTGGAGTCTATTGTACTGCAATAAAGCAAGAAAGGCTGCTTAACAATCACAAGTTCACAAACGGAAGCAGAATATACCCAATCAACGCTTTAATGCGACTGTGGAATTTGTTTTATTTTCCTGTTTTATTACTTTCATTAAAAGTATTTTTTTGCAGTGTGAAAGCTGAAGTCTCATTTATGTTTGTGCATTCCTGAAAGTTTTTATGACGGTGTCCTGTGTTCCTGAGTAGAAATCCAAATGCATTTTACGACTATTCCTGAGTCCCTGTCAAAACAACAGATGCATTTTACGACAGTTCCTAAGTTCCTGAGCGTCAGAACAGTGGTATATAACCACATGCATCAGAGCTGTTATCAAACTGAATCAGACCAGACTAGCTGCTGGACAGGCTGTAAATGCCTTTACAGAACGCTCATTAAAAGACTACCACGATTCATTTATCTTGAGGCAAATTGGTTCAAATGAGGTAGGAAAGAAAAAAGGATGTGACAAAAAAGTGATAATGGCAAAAAAAATGATCATGGTGAAAAAAAACAAACAAAAAAAATGTCTCTGCATGATGTATGCAGGGTAAGCTGTAAAACTTGGCAGCAGATTCAAGGTGATAATAGTGCAACAGCAAATATTGTTGTGAGAAAACAAATTCACACCTGTAATGTTTATCAGCTGCTGCTCAAGATTTTCCCAGATGACTAGCCACTTCCTTCCTTAGTGGGAAGTGTGTGTCGGAAACTGACAGATATCCCAAACCACAGTTTCCGTTTCACGCTACATCTGATCATATTACACAGACAGCAGTCATTTACCCACAACAGTGCATGAGGGGCCATTACACTTACAAAGCCTCTTCTACAACTAAGAACTAATGAGCTCAGAGATAAGCAGACAGAGAACGATACTAAGCTAACAAAGTAAAGCAAAAGAAATGAAAAGTGCTGGTGTTGGGGAGAAAGCAAAACAGTCTGTACCTGAGCAATTTTTTGGACATCATCTGTAGGAGTGGGATCTGTAAAATAAAAGAATGGGGTTCAAAACAAAATATGACAAAAGTATGTCAAATCAAGCATGGGTACAAAAAGAAAAAAAAAGAAAAAACAAATGCACAGGGATTAAAACAATAAAAGCAAAAACACCTAATAATTCAGTTTCCTCAGCATTATTCAAGTAGCCTAATGCAATTCAATGATGCAGTAATGCAATTCATGGAATAGGCACGGAATTTAAATGAGGGTAAGAGATGTCGTATGTAATGTGGGTGCCCTAGAAAAGTCCTTTCCTGCACCACCATTGGAATCTAACATGCTTCCCAGTCATGACACGGACAAGTCAGGAGTCACTTGCAGGCCAGGCATTAGTACTGCAACAATAGGGACTCCAGAAACACTAACAGCTACAGTAACTATGTTTACCAGAAGGTGTTTGCTTGTAACCTCGGAGCTAATCTTGGGGCAGCGATGATGGGGCAGCTATGAATATCAGAGAAACGAAACCACTTTACCACTCAACTCCTTTAGACATCTGGCTAACTGAAAATATTGTTTTTTTTATACACCCAGGTATTTTCTTTTTTGTGTTTTGTTACTATAACACCTAATTCCACTAAAAAGGTCATTATCGGGCAGTTTATGAGCTTAGTGAGTTGTGTTACAGCACCTCATGTGGTCCCAGGTACTGGGTTTCTGAACCATTAGTATAATGGATGCAAGCACATGCCTGCACTTTAGTTTTATATGAATGGTAAAAGTGTTTGCACAAAAGTTTGAGAGTAAAGAAAAACAAAAGCATGTAATTTTGAGGTAAGCAGAATCTTTCTTCTGTAGTAAAGTCCAAAGCTAGATAAAGTTAAGAGGAGAAAATGTGGGTTTAAGGTTCAGTATGTGGACTTAAGTGTTGAACCTGTCTTAGGTCAATGACTCACCAATGAACTTGCAGGCACTGTCATAGTAGAGGAGGTTGAGGACATCTGGATAAACATCTGGCAGGTGTTTGAGGGATAGGAGCCTCCGGAGTTTAGACGAAAAGGCCCGTCTGTGGAGTTGAGTCAAGTGTCTCTCCTCTGAAAGCGTGGTAGGCCGCAGCTCAACTTTATGCTCCTGCAGCACCTGGTCTATGAATGCACCATGGACCTGAGGAAACAGGACCTCTTTCACCACCAGCATGGGGATGAACACTGCCCCTGCTCTGATGACATGAGGAAAGGGGCACTCACGTCTTCTGACGTAATTCTCAAACTGGCTAAGGACCTTCTGGAGTGCCGTCACTGTCTCTTCACCTCTCAGCCAAACCTCTCTAGCCTTGGAACCCAGGAGGCATGATACTTTCTGGGTTTTGGCTGGAGGACAAACAAGGTTCAAACTGGATAGCCATTCCCTGACCTCCCAATGTGAGGTCTGAGAAACACAGGTTGATATGAGCCTGCAAAGTGACTGGTGAAGCTCCATGAACTGATGCCGGGCCTGTCTGCTGCTGCTCACGGCTGGTCTTGTCTCAGCAGGGGACTGAAGAACCTCAGGGCCTGGGGTCACAGGAGCTTTCAGAACTTCAGGCACAATGATACTATAGCTAGACAGTTTAAGGCAATGAGGAGAGATATTACTGATGGAAAACGTTGTCTGAGATGTCTGAGGTGGAGCTGGGATTTTAGGAGACAAAGTGGCTGGAAGCTCAGAAGGTTTTGTGATGGTGTTTTGAGTCTGTACAGTTTCCACTTTATCTATCGGGCTGGGCTCAACCTTCAATTCAAGGCAGGATTCTGCAATTTCTGGCGTGACTGGCTTACATTCTGGTTCTGAGTCACTCTTCACAACAACAAGGTTGTGTTCAATATCGCACACTGCTGGTTTTAAATCTGCTGGCTCTTCTTTGACTCCATCATTGCAGTTATGGTTAATTGCAGGACCGGGGCTATCATTCATTTTTGACTGACATGATGCATCATCTGGCTCTACTTTCTCTTTTTTGACCTTTACCATTTGTAGTTCTTCTGAATCACGGCTGCTAGCTGGTGGTGTTTTGACTGCTTTCAACTTAAGGTCATCTTGACCTGAAGCAGTTTTTGGGTCCGTGCTTTGCAGTTCTGGCTCTTCTTTCAGTGGTTTTGAGTCAGCTTGAAGCTTAGAACTATCAGGATGTTCTGGGGAGAACATGCCTGTGGCTTCTAAATAGGCTTTGTAAGGGGCGAGGCTAAAGACTTTGTTTATGACTGGCATTGGAGGGGAAGAGGGAGAATGAGCCTCATCAGATGTCTGCTGTTTTTTTTTAACTTTTTCCAAAGGACCATTTTCACAACTATTATCACTTTCCTCTCTGTGCCTTTTAGATATTAAGGTACTGTTTGCTTGATTGTCTGAAATACATGAACTCTGTTTTTTATTAGATATACCACCAGTGCACTGAGGAGAGGCCATGTAGTTATGGCTACTGCTAACCGGAAAGCCATCTCGGCTCTGATTTGGTGAGCCAAGGTTGCAATTTTGAGTGCCTACATGGTTTGAAACCTGTGCTTGGTGGAAAGTCCCTGAAGTCCCAACCTGTCCATGAGGCTCCCGGTGGGAGTCTACATTCTGCTCTCTCCGCATGGAGAAGTCCAGAGGTCGATCTGCCTGGTGCACGACGGGAGGAGGACATTGCCTCTCGGTGAACGGGTTCACTTGGCTACTATTTAAGTGCATTCTATAACCAGAATAAGCAGGTAAAGCCCTGGTAGCAGAGTGGCTTGGGACCATAGAGTAAGGATTTGGCAAATCACTGTAATAAGGCTGAGGAACATGGCATTGCTTTTCAACCATATGACGAGGATTCTCTGGTCTGTAAACCTCTTCGTTATTCTGTGGACAGTAAAGCAAAGAATGCTGAGGTATTTCTCGATACTTGGATATGTGAGGACGATCTTGATAACCATGCGTAGGTGTTCCATAGTGCATTCTAGTCAGTGGTTCATACATAGGAGGCAGGTCTTTATGCATTTGTGGGCGCATCTGGAAACGATGGCAGTGCTCTGGTGAAGCAGGGACAAATGAATGAACTGGGCTATAGGGGTAGCTGCTATGGCTCGGCTCAGTAAACGCAGATACCCTCCTCGGTCTACTTGGGCTGTGACCATGGTATCCCTGTGTGGTTACATCTTTCAACGGTACTCTCTCTCCACAGTGCTCAAATGGCAATATCCTCTGCTGCATCAGTGCTTCCTGCTCCTTTTTGTGCAGATACGCCCAGTGACTGTAATGTGCAGCCCAGTCATCCTCAAATATTTGAGGGGGCACCCTTTGCAGCCCTCGTTCCACAGCATAGCTCTGGCGTACTGTGCACTTTCGGTCAGTGCAGCAGGGGCTATGTCCATACACTGGTTTTGGAATAGCAAGCCCAACTGAGTTTTCTGCTGTTGAGGGGGACAAGCTTGTGCACGCTACAGGAAGTTTCCTAACAGCAACAGGAGAGACTACACCTGTAGTACTGGGGCTGTGCTTGCTTCTGTTATAGTACACAAGCTTGTGCTTTGCTGCTAACTCCTCAGCTGCAGCAGGGGAACCACTGTCTACAGGGAAAGGCACATTTTCAGGTCTGTAAAAGATTGGATTCGTAATTGACCCCTCTGTGGCTGAAGAATGAACCACTGGGCTCCCTCCATTTCTCACACAAGTCCTAGAGGGGCTCCATGCTGAAGGAAGATCTAAAGCCTCTTGTCCACTGAGAGAGCAAGATATGTAGCTCTGTCTGTAGGGTAAGGATTTGTCTTGGGAGTACTGTGGCACGTTGTCTGCTTTGGAAAGCCCTGGAGGGACCATGGTCCCCACAGTACCCTCAAGTCTTGCCATCTTGCCTTGAGCTAGAGGATCCATGAAACTCTGCACCCGCTTGCTGTTCATCATATTTTGTCTTTGAGATGATTTTTTTTCATGCCAGATGAGACCTATTAGAGAGAAGAAAAAAAAACAGTTTACATACTGTTTTAAACAGGATGAATTAGGATAACATTTCTTAAATAAAACAAATTATTTTTAATCTGACAAATTATTTTTAATCTGACAAATTATCAGAGGTAAGCAATTAAAAATTAACTAAGCAATTCACAAAACAATGGCACAATCCTGACTCTGAATGGGCCCAACTCTACATTCTTTTCTGCCTTCAATTTTTTTTCCTTTGAGGTCCACTTGTGGCATTTGCCTGGTTTTGTGTACCAAAAGCACTCATAATTCATATTATGTGACCATTTTCCAACTTCTTTTTATCACTTAGAATTAAAAATGCAGTTTTTGTTGCTGTTCCTTTAAGTCTGAGGAAAACTTATGAAATCAGTCATATTACAGATTACGCAAGATTCTTACTACGATACAATGTCCCCATTCTATTAATATAATAAGACGCACTGACATGAATGCTTATTGCTTAGTACATTTCTCATTCATAATCAAATGTTTTATCAAACAGCTCGCAAATATCCAAGTGTCTGCATGCAATATGTTTCTGCTGTATGTATGCAAATTCCTCCAAATATCAAATATGCTCAATTTAAAGAATTCAGCTGGAAAATGTGTTCAGTCACAGCTATGAGGCATCACTGAGGGAAACGAGGAGGCCTTATCTACACACAGATGGTTATGTGGTGCCTCATCTCAGTAGGGCTTATAAGGAAACAACTCCAAGCTCCTCCCTGCTGAAAAAAAAACAAAAACACAGAAACCATTAAAAGTTTCTGTGGGTTCCTGGTGGTGCCCAATACTCATTAAGTATAGTATTTAGTGTTTTTCTGATGGGTTGATATCACAGTGTAAAGGACTAATGGTTTGAGAGGTTTTCTGAGACTGATTTCAGATGCATCTGATGGTTTCCTAACGGGATCTAAAGGTGTCCTGCAGGAAACTAGTGCTCTCTAAAGGTAACCAATTCCCATTCGTAACCAATGGTAGCCAATTCCCATTAGAAAGCAAAACCATCAGGTTTCAATCCTAATGGTTCTAATGATCTTTTTTTAGCAGGGCTGGCAAGATCGCACACGACTGAAAATCTGCAGAGTCTTACTTTCTGAAGAGTATGATTAGTTCTCTACAGCAAAACTGATGGAAAGGAAAGGTGATATTTAATCTACAGCCTGTTCAAGCACAGACTGCGTGCAGACAATCTCGCGTGGGCGATCGTGCACATTATGCCTCCAGTGCAAAAAGCAACCAACACAACCCGATGGATCCATTTTGAGGCTTGGAAACTTCCGTCAACATCTGTGCAAGAATAGATGGGTGAAAACAAAGGCAGCGCTGCTGGAACAGAGTCTCTCAAACTTGAAGCGCAGCTGCAGTGTCCCCTCATATACACCCAAAATTATGTAAGACTGTAAACAACGCTCCTGAATAATCACTCACATGTCGTATTTTAACATCTATACAGTTTTAACTCTCATTAAAAGGTGCCCCCCTTTTTCAGAGAAGCCCCCCGCGCAACGAAAGCAGCGCCGAGTTTGTCCTCACGTGCTCTCTAAACTCTCACCAGTCCAACAAGAGCGACGCGTCACTCAGATAAAACCAGTTCTGCTAAACTGCAGCCGGATCTCTGGCCATAAAAGGAAAACCATCACGGCTCTTTGGAAGATGTCCACACTTTCTTCTTCACCGTGTTTACAAACAGTGCAGACAGTCTACAAAGATACAGCACTCACCGAGGAGGGGCTCCTGTTTGTTGAACGCCAGGCTCAGTCAGGCTATCCATGACAAAAAAAGTTAAAGTCAGCCCTTAAAATCACTCTTCAAATCCTTCAAATCCATCAAATCCCCGGGAAACGCGTGAGCACTGCGGAGCTGGAGTGAAAGACTGATGTCCATGCAGTTCCGGCTTATTTTCCGGAGGAGTTTGGAGGCGTCAGTCCAAAAGTATGCGAGCTGCCACAGCGGTTCAGCCAATTAGAGTAAGACAAAAAAGAGGGAGGATCTCAAGACACTGGCGCAGTAATGCCTCTGTATGTAGCACATATTAGCACACCAGCGTAGCACACGTGCACACTTTGCCAATCTAAGCTTTCCTTCTGTGAGATGACAGAAACATGCAGGCGCGAGTCAAAATAAAGCCAAATGTTTTGAGAGACAAAAAGCAGAGTCTACAGCCAAAAAAATGAAAATTTATAAACGAGAAGACTATCAGAAAATTTCCGTAAAACCACCCATTTTGTAACTAAATAACTACATTTGTAACATTTAGTTATATATGGAAGCCCCTTCTCACCACACAATTCTTCTCTTCCAGCACAATTATTATTTGTTTGTTATTAAGTGAATTCCTATGTCTTAAGTTTGAGATGCTATCTTTTGAGAAATTTTCTTGTTATTTTGAGATGCTTTCTCGTTTGATAGTAATGACTTAGTATCTCAAAATAATGGCATAGCAATTAATTAAGAATAAAAAAATAGGTACTGGATTTTTTTATTTCAAGTGGCGGGAATGGGCTTCCACGGGTTATGCGTTTCTCTCAGCCTCGTTATCAGTGCGAAAATCTCTCTGGAGATCTAGTCTGTGATTGGCTGCTGAGAAGACCCGCCCACTGAATAAATTACACGCAGCCCGCGAGTTTTGCCTCTAGCTGGAAAATGGCAAACAACCAGCCAATGCAGGTAATCTGACTGTTCCTGCTTTGTCATCTGGTGTGAACAGTTATGTCCTTTAGTAATCTACAATCTGTCATAGAAGCATAGAGTAAGGCTGCTAAACTGTTGTGTGTACATTAGGTAGGTAGCAAACATTAGGTGGCCTGTTAGCTACGAAAATGAACTAACGTTAAGCAGTGAAAATTTAGATTTCTTGGTTATGGATTCAGCTTTTTGGTTCTCAAAATTTTTGGCCTTGTTTTGACAGCATAGGTGAATTTAAGAGCCTTAAACAACCCTCAAGTGAAAGTGTTGTTACTGCTTTGAAATAGGGCTTGACTAAAAGTAGCCTAGCAAAAACAACGAGAAAGAGTAAAACGTACACAATTCTACATCCAGCATCTGTCAGCAGAGAACTTTGTTAAGCATACCTTTTAGTATTATTATTGATGTTGTTAATATATATAGTGGACTTCACTCGGAACTGACATTGTTTTCAACCTCTGCACAATCCAGCTACAATGTGGGGGGAAAAACATGGGGGTCTCCATGAAGGCGATGACTGCATTTACTCAAAACAGCAAACTTTATGGTCATTGTTACAGATTTAACCAACTACTATGTATATTGGTTGCTCTAAAGCAAAAAGTACATTTAGAGAAGTGGTCGAGTGCAGCATTAGGATGGCTAGTTAGCTAAAAGTGAATGATTGATTAAAATGTTTCTGACTAAAATGTTGACTACTTTTGCCACAAATACACTGGAGTTTAGACAAAACTATTATCAATCGAAAATGCTCAAATTGATCAGAAAACATACAACTCAATCAAAGTACAAGAACTGTGTGGTTGTAAGTAGTTACTGCCCACTTCCGTTAATTTTATTTTTTTTATTTTTTATCTTTATTTAAAAAGATTAAAATCTCTTCTTCGAGGGAGACCTGGCCACGATAGCACACCATTTCCAAGAGATTAACAAAACAGACATGGGACAATTTAAGTAGAACGTGTTCAAAACAGACAAAGAACAACAGATATGTAATACAAAACACAAAATCCAGATTAGGAATAGCAATTGCACTCTTCAGTTACACAGTTTTTTTTCACTCAGAGAGTCAAAATCATTAAGCTGTAGCATGTTCTGAAGGTTATTCCTGGACCAAAGCACAAAATAAGAGAAAGCTGTTCTGCCCAATTCTGAACTCATCTTTGGTACATTGTAAAGCAGCATTCTAGAGGAGCGAGAATGTGCAATAATATCTGTATTAGTATCCTTGATTGTAAATAATCTTGAATGTTAATAAATTGAAACTAAGATAATCTTTAAAGCATATTTTAGAAGGATGTCCTACTCTGAAACACAATGAGATGAGCTCAGAATGCAAACAGGCAATACATTTTATTATTGCGCATCTAGACCATGTACAGAGAACGGAAAACCTTACTAATATCAGGGTGCAATGAAAAATTAACAGTACAGCATCGACACACTGCAAAAATATTAAGTACAACAAAATACAGTATGTGTATGAGACAAACAAAAGGGCAGTAGCAACAGCCTACCTGATAAAAGAGCTGCCAGAAGTAGTAGAAGTAAAATCACACTGACATAATAAAAAAACATTACGACACTAGGCAGTGTATGTTTTCTTTGTAAGCAGGGAATTCATGATGGATTTTAAACCTGGCCAGACATGATTAAATGATTAAAGCAGGTAGTGCTTGCAGTGGTGATGTTTTCTTTTTTGAGTTCATTCTTTCAGAGACTTTGCCTTAAACCATAACTGTATGAACTCATCATTTCCCAGCAACATTTACCTTCACTTTTTGTTCGCCATGTGCTAGGTTTGGGCAATAACCCATATGTCCAGGAAATTGCCAAACAGCAACAGTCCGGAATTATTTTGTTGAGGAAACCGTTTACGGACAAAGAGAACTTTTCTTTGCAGGTCTACAAATTTACAAACATTTCACAAGATGTCTCATGCAAGGCAGCTTGGTTCACTAAGGTGTTACAGAGAAATAAAGGATCTCCATTAGGAAATTCAAATGATTTAAAAGGTGGGTTATTTGCCTGGGCCAACTTACAGGAGAGAGTACTACATGTATGCAAAATATAAATAAAATAAGGATAAAGGAAGCAGTAGCATGTAAACCAGTGACAAACATTCTACTTATTTGCATTTAACTACTTTTAGGCTAGTTTCAGCGTTTAGAGACTACACTTAATGACTAACTTACAAATTAAATTTTTTGCTCAAGTGTATTTGAAATCTGTGCAGGTGTTTTGACAAAAAGCAGATGACACTGACAGGCTAGGTATTCCAGCAGCCCTTTTGTTTATCAGACACTGTCATCCTGCTTTAGTTAATGGTTGACCATAACTGGTAGACAGGGCCAGAACTAGGTCATTCATTAGCAGAGTCTGGTGCAATGCAGTTATTCCCAGTCCATACATGGAGTTTCCCACAATGTTTTTTTGCCAAACTGAAAAGATTACTCCTCTCTTATGAAATTCAGGATTGTTGTTTGCCCATAAATCAAGCTTAATTAGAGGTTTTATTGGTGTGTACTTTCTCCATGCATATGGCTTATTAGTTTATGTCAAGCTTTTTATCACTACCGGCTCCAGCTTATTAAGAACAACAGCAGCAGCCACAGCAACAAAATGCAACGTCATTGGGTGAACTCTGTTGTTGTCAAAAGGCTTTCTTGTGTTTGCCTACTTACATAGTTAAAGATTAAAGCAGTCATTTGTGGGCACAAAATGTACTAAATATATGACAGATTAATCACTCCCAATCGTGTTCTCTTCACATGTTCTTGTTACGTTATCAATAACATGTTGTGCTATATTAAACCAGGTGAAACGTATAATGGCAGGTTAGTATATGTTTTCTTTTTTTGACAGTCATTGCATCATGCTGGTGGAAGTGCATCTGTTAGCAGTACCTAATTGTCCATCCTTTGAGATTATGGCTGTATAGTCTAGACAAGCTGGTGGCCTCCTTAAGACCTCCCCCATGCTCTCTGGGGTTTTGATCTTTGCTCAGAAGCTCGGTTTTGGAGAATCATCTCCCTGCAGACTGCCACAGGGCTTCTTATATTATGTGTTGCCATGGCATCAGAACATTACAGCCAATCAACACACGCCAACACAAGACCCTCACAAAAAAGACTCTACATTTAAACCATACCATGTTAAGGACCATATCACATAATGAACAATAAAGAAGCAAACTGAAGAATGCAATTTTCCAAGGCCCTAGAAATATGACCCAATTGAAGCATTTTAGTAGAACTGCACAAGGTTTTTACATTCCTCATTTATGTAGGCCTGGCAACAAGTATGCGACTATAATATCTCCAAAACATGTACGCATTTAACCCCCCGCCTCCCCCACTCCTTTCCTTTTTGTATCTTATCATCCTCTATCAGATACCATGAGTATGAAAATTATGTTATGTGTGTAATTATAGTTTGCATACTCTGTCAAAGGCATACATTTAGCTCAACATCTAGAATGCCAGATCATCAAAAATGAGGAAGTATGGTTAAAAACATAACGTTCATAGTTGGGAGCACACAGGAAGCTGTGATCAGTTTCACATTCTAACTTAGCCTTGTAGAGTTTGCCTGAGGCAGAGGAAAAAATAATACTTTCAAAAGAATTCATTTTCTTGGCACAGTTACCAAAAGCAGTTAGGGGAGGGCATCAGCTCATTTCTCAGAATCAATATCATAATATCCTGCTTCCCCATTCTTTCCTCCTGATAGGCGGACTTTATTGCTAAGTTTGTTATGCTTCCATGTCAGTCAGTCTTGTTCGACTCTTAACAGTCCAAAAAATGTAGGCCTAGAGTCATTTATTTTACCTCCACACAATGTACTTGACTAATAACAATACTACGACATTGTCCCCATGTTTTACCTTTGGTTGTGTTACCTAGCTGCTGAGTGACACTTGTGGATGTAGCTCTTGCAATGTTTGGCACTGGAGTTTTTTGTCTGGTAAGTATAGAAATGAACTGAGTAATATGGAAATATAAAGAGTATCTAATAATGGAAGAGTGCAGAGTGCACTGGTTGTCAAAGGAAGACACCTCAACATCTACAGTCTTTCCTGACAAAGTCAAACTAATAGTAGAAATTCGATCTTACAAGAAAAAAAATTCTGTTCACAGGTTATCCTCAAGTATGGTGATATTCAGAGTTAGGCTAAACACTTAAAGTAATGATGGCTGAATAC